CGTAAACAGACGGGGAGAAACGGTCTTGTTCCGACACCGAATTCATGGACCCCGAAGGTGTCACAGCCGTCCATTACACGGGACACGCGCATGGAGATGGAGTCGATGTAATCGCTAATCACGACGACCGCTGATAGTTGGGATGTGGTGCACAATTCCTATTAACAGGAAAGCATAGGAATTCCGCACTTCGATGAGCAAATAGGGGTTCGAGGGCCGCAGGCGGGCTTTTATAGTTTGGATCCGTATTTTATTGGTAGTTTGAGCTTAGGCCTGTGAATAACTGCTGCCTATATATAATCTATTTCTGTTATAATTGAGAATTGTAACAGGGAAGCGAAAGATGCTAATTACACTGGAATCCTCTGGTGGGTGTAGCCTTAGTTCAATGGTGAATTGGGATATTTCTTGCGCCTAATTTCTCTTTCTCGTATTTATTCTCTATATTATTGTGTTTGTGCGTCTATGGATCGGGTTTAGATAAGAATTTTCCAATCGTAAGGCGGCTCCTCTCCAAATGCCATGATTTGCTAGCAAAATCTTTTTATCTTCGGCTAAATAAGTCCGAACGTGTTAATGGGTGAGTTAGGCCCATGAGCAACTTGAGCTTGAATCACATTTTAAAGAAATGAAATAATGATCTTGACTTAGTCAACTTTTCTTGATCTATTCAACTTTCAAGAGGTCAAAGGTTTAAACATAATGTGATATCATTTTGACCGTCGTCTTTGGCCTCAACTCAATTTCCAACACGTTGAAAAGTCATGCTTAGCGTAGTCAAACTTATGACCTCCCTGTGTAGCCCAGACAAAAGGACCTTTCTCACTGGATCAAATTCAGACAAAATTAATTTCGACTCAAATCGAACTTTTTTATTTGTAGCTAGCGTGAATCCTTCTAATAGCGCTAATGAGGGTCACTCCGCCGATCGCTCCTCTCCATCTTTTTACTTATCGAAGATTCATATAATTGCATGTCATGAAAACTTGAAGTTTGATTTCTTTACGCGCGTTAGGTTATCCCAAATATTGCGCATGTGTGTCTCTGGCGAGCCACTAAGTCCGGTATAACGATCATTCTCTAAAATTAACGGTGTAATTATTCTTGGAGTATAAAAACATTCACTACAAGTTATTCTTTTCTTTTTCAATTTCATCGTGATTGCCCAATTCTATCTCTTTTTCATTTAGGTTGTGATTGTGAACATCAAGAAATTTTCATTCGAAAGTTCCAAGATGAAACTACCATTTTGCTTAGAGAATGTAGCGCCTTTTCTATTGAGTTCTAGTATCGGTAGTTAACTTTTATTTACAGTTGACATCTAGAATAATTTACTATTTGCAAAAAAGTAATTACTCTCTCTCTCGTATTCTTTAAAGAAATAACTAGTGTTGAGGCTCGTTATTTGCGGCTTGAAGTAGGAATGTACGGTAGGAACACAATGCAATGCTTTCGCTGAAATCCGCGTTGGAGACGCTAATGGACTTTGCACAGCTCTTGCTGCTTGTGCCAAGGCTGCAGCAATGGTGGCTTTTGCGGTCGTGAGCATCTCTGCAACTGAAGTCCTGAATGTGGAAATGCAGATTGTTCTCATGCTCAATCCTGATTATTCTTTCTTGTCAAACAGTTTGCATTCCTGATCTTCAGCTCGAGCTATCGCTAATCAAAATGCCGGGTCATGAATATCGGTAACGCCAAACCTGACGAGTTATGTCGATTCTTGCAACATTTCTGTGCACCAGCGAGGCATTGTCGTTCTTAAAGCAAACAACCGAGATTCGTTCTAATCGTTCTCTACCTCTCTTATCTTGGCATTCTTATTGTAGATTGCAAGCTGCTCGACACAGTACATGTTTCTCGTACTAGTCACGACAGCATACAACTTAGCGTGTGTATTGAAAATGCTCTTGTATTCATTCTGTTCCGTTGTTTCGCTTTTTCAAGTGAGTGATCACTAGCTCTTTCTGGCTTTGTTAAATAGGTCTGCTATCTGTTAAAACTTGAAATGTTAAACAGGAATCCATCTGATAAGCTAAGCTATGCTTGTTCACGGTGAGCATAATTCTCACGAAATTTAAAATAGGTTGTCCATCGGAGGCTAGTGTCGCAGATGCCTATTTCAATCAGAGATCAGATGAATGCTCGAGATACTGTTTTGCAATCTTGCGATCCTTTCCTAAGTCGTGAATTGGAGAGCTTAATTGCGACAGACCTTTCATTCGGAAAAAAATAAATATGACCCATCATTCGGCAGGCACATGTCTTACTTGGCAAATGGTGTTGTCACTTTGTTGAGTTTCACAAGCATAAAATAGGGAAGATTCGGCTAAAGGATGTAGTGAACAGAACTTAGGCAAAGCCACGTATCTCTAATCTGTAAAAAAAAGCAGGTAGTCCAATTCAATTGAATCATATCTTAAAGTTAGCTAAGGTCTTGCGTTTCATCCTAAGCTCAAGAGATAGATAACCGTCTCTATGTATGAGGAATTAGGACTGTAAAGCAGTCACAAGCTAAGAAAACTTAATCATTAGCGTCTCTATGTTAACAATAACAAGCATCGGTAGCCTGAAGCAAGATTTGGAAGCCTCATGAACAATCGTTAGAGGAACGGGAGTACAACAAAAGGATTCAATGTTCACTGCTGCCGTTGCTCTGCATCAACTCTAAATGCCTGAAAAATCTCCTTATGCGTTGTCACTTGCTGCATGGGATAGGATGCACGATCTAGAGGACACAGTGCCACTAGATCTTTCTTCTCATAGACTTTTACAAGTAGTTTTCGCCTCAAGCGGATGCATCGAAGTAGGCCCAGACCAGGCAGAATTTGATAGGCAATACCAACCTGTAACACCATAATAGATGAGATATATCACATATATGAACCCTGCATACAAGATTTCGGTTGCTCCACTCGATCTCGTACAGGAATGAATTCTTCGAGCTCTCTATACAATGGTATTTCTAAGCTGCTCTTGCACTTGAGTTTTGGGAGATCGCTGCTTCAAGTTATTGTGGACGTGGGACTAGAAAGAGCATGACATCAAAATATCGGGTTGCATTTCTGGGTGAGATGTTTCTTGTTCTAGTTAAGGAATATATGCCTTGGAGCTGAGATGGTTACTAGCAGGCAGAATTTGATAGGCAATACCAACCTATAACACCGTAATAGGTGTGTTATATCACATATATGAACCCTGCGTATGAGATTTCAGTTTCTCCACTCGATCTCGTACAGGAATGAATTCTTCGAGCTCTCTATTCTATGCCACTTCTCAGCTGCTTGCACTTGTGTTTCGTGAGCTCTATCTCTGCTTCAAGTAATTGTGGACGTGGGACTAGAAAAAACGTGACATCGAAATGTCAGGTTGCATTTTCGGTTTAGATGATTCTTGTTCTAGTTAGGGAATATATGCCTTGGAGCTGAGATGGTTACCAGCCAGAATCCGATCCTGTCTTATTTCCCATTCATCCCATGAAATGAAAGGGAACAAAGAGCTGAATTAGTCCAACTCCCGCTTCCGATACATATGGCCGGTGCTACTGTCATATGCTTAGCTGATACTGTGCAGGACTGGGATGAGCGCGAATTTGATATTATGATATCGATTCCGTTGTCTACTCCTACTTTTCTTTCCTGTGTTCAACTAAGGATGTTGTTAAGTGGGAATCGGATCCCACTTATCTCCTGTTTGGCCGTGAAAAAAGAGCAAAGAACTGAATTAATCTGACCATTGTTTCGGCATAACTGCTAAAAAGAAAAAGAAGGAAAAAATGAAGAAGCAGATGTGATAGTGAACATGTTGATTCCAAAAGGCTGACCCAATAGGACCGAAAGCATGGCAATATGTATATTCAACCGACATGGTTTATGAAAACTCAGAGAAAGTTGGGTGTAGCCTGACGTGCTCTGCTCTCTTAACAAGCCAACTTGACCACTAATCTGCATTAAGAATCGGATGCTGATTCAGTGCCTTCCCTTTGGAATATGATTTTGCTCGGTCATTTCTTCGACGAGTTTAAGTGTTGTTGGAGTTGCTTTACTTTGACAATCTGGTGCCGACAATGGGAATCGAGCAATGCCTTTCCAATAATCTAGATCTCGAGTTTGTGGACTAACTTGGATGTAGATGCTGCATAAAAGCGTTGGATTCTTTCCCTTCTTGCGATCATCGCTTGGTCGGTATGGATTTCGATCCAGATGAGGAGAAAATGTCATGAAGATGACTTAATTTTCGAAGCATCTGAGAGTCAATGACTTCACGTAATGATTCGTTGCTTTATGGAGTATGTGAAATTCATCGGCGAGCATGGTGGTGAAATGAAAGCAACCTGACAGTAATTAGGAGATACCCTTTTCAGGATTCGATTCGAATACTGTGCTTTCGCTAGAAGGGAGGAGGGAATATTCTGAGAGCTCGCTCCTTAAAGTGCATCTTCTATGCATCATCTGATGTTTAAGTTCATTTGATGACATTGCGATCGAATACAACTGCGAGAAACCATGAACATAGTCGCCTTATCACAGACAAGTAATGGACAGTAGGACCGATCGAAAAACACAATGAATTCAACTCGTGATGGATAGTATTTGCTGCTCGGTTATGGTTATACGTGGACGATTCCATTCTTCTCTTTCTCTGGCAATCACCATGTGAGAGCGCTATGGTCACGGGATGTGCCACTACTTCTGGAGACCGCATGTTGCTCTTTACAAAAAGGTGTACTTGGCATGTGCAGCTCCAACGTCCTTTTCGACGGGCATCTCCTTTTTGTACAAGCATGCTTGATGTGAACCCGGGGAGAGCGTCGTAGATGTGAACAAAATCGGTGTTGGGTATATTTAGATTGGTTTAATAAATTCGTGTGTGATACGTGTAGCGGAGGACCGGGTTGAATATTAACAACGACCCATTTGTGTATAAGTCTGTTTGCAGCCCGCCATATCACTTAAAACGTATCAATTTAAGTAGACCAATCTTGATACACGTATTCTGAAATCAAGAATTTCGGTATGTACTATCCGATTAAGCAAGCCGTAGATCTTGAACTAGGACAGGATCCGGACAAGAATTCCTTCCTCTACAAAAACCCCCCACCACCCTCCGTTTTCTTCCCTTGTTTTCCCATCGACTCTCTCTCTCTCTCTCTCTCTCTCTCTCTCTCTCTCTCTCTCTGTGAAGAACAAGCCAGAGTCACCCCCAAAATGCCAACAAACCTAGAGCTCCCAGATTGCCACCTCCTGAAACCACCCATACTGATCACCCCAAGCAGCCCAACACCCCACCACGCGCTCTCCCTGTCCAACCTTGATGACCAGAAGTTCCTCAGGTTCTCCATCAAATATCTCTACCTCTTCAGGAAATCCGTGCCCTCGGAATCCCTGAAAGCTTCGCTTGCCAAGGCCCTGGTGGATTACTATCCATTGGCCGGGAGATTGAGGAGCGCCGGGAATACGGACAGCTGCAGCGGTGGCGATGATGATCAGAGGCTCGAGGTGGATTGCAACGGAGAAGGTGCTGTGTTCGCCGAGGCTTCCATGGACATCACTGTGGAGGAGTTCCTTGGGCTCTCATGCTGGCCCAACAGGTCCTGGAGGAAGCTGCTGTACAAGGTGGAGGCTCACAGCTTCCTCGGTGTCCCTCCCCTCGTAGTTCAGGTGAGGCTATTCAGGAGTCTCTCTTCTGTCTCTCTTTCTCATGAAGTCGGGTCCAGTCACTTGTTCTGTGTTTTCCGCGATTTGCACGTGCTTTCCTGGCGCACAAAGAGTAGGCAAAACTCTTGAGCAACACCAGCATGTTCTAACGTCGATCTACAGAAACGTCACAGTAAATGATGTTGCAGATGATCAAAGATCTGCAAGCAAGTAATATCATATTCAACGCTCAATCAAAGTCTATCACATTACTTAGTATACATAACATTATTCACCAAAATTTTTAGGATATGCTATTGAACCAAACTACACAAAGAGAAACATATTATTATTATCGTTCTCATCACTTATCAAATTCTAGTATTTTCCAAGATTCCCAGGAATTACCGCCCACAAGGACCAACTCTTACTAGGAATTACTGCCACTACTCCTCCTCCACTTGCATGTGAACCACACCATCTTCTACAGCACAGACAACCCATCGAGAATCAGAATCCAAGGGGGGGAAAAATATCCTAATCGTAAAAAGAACAAGACGATCTACACAGAACAAACGGAATGGAATCGCGGAGGGGGGGGGGGGGGGGGTAGCGCTTGATCTGGCGCACTCCCTGGCAGTCTAATGAAAAGGAAAACGTGGGTTCAATAATTTGACTGCAAAAAATGCAGCAGCGGAGCAGGCGCAGGCGGGTATGTTTCCTCCTCCTTTTCCCCCACTCATTTTCCCCCTTTGCGCGTCCCTCGTCTGTGCGCTCTGATGATCGTCGTCGTCATGATGCGAAGTGGACCAGAAAAGAAGACGAAAAGGCAAAAAAAAAAAAAAAAAACTACAGTGGCGTCGGAGTGGTTCCAGTGGCGTCCTGTGGCGCGACTGCTATAATATTCTCTCCCTAATCTCACTTCCTTTCAAGACAACGACCCTCCTTCCACCATGCGTCCCCACCTTCCCTCTCTCTCTCTCTCTCTCTCTCTCTCTCTCTCTCTCTCTCTCTCTCCATCCCTCTCTCCACTCAGTGGCTTTGCTTTTCCTTTGAGGTTGGTGGCGAACGGTGGTGTCCCAGTTCCTCCTCGTTTCCCGCTGGACTATGCCTTTGCCTTGGATAGATATTTTTACTCAGTTTAGACCTTAGTGCAGCAGCAACCCACAAGGTATTTTCCATCACCACATCAGGTGCTTGGATCTGTCGATGGGACTAAGTCTTATAAATGCACACCGACCGTCCCGTTCACATGTATCGAACACCGAAGTTGAAGGAAGGCAAAAAACTTCGTATTCGGAAAGGGCTGCTACAAATAATACCACGGATAAATGGGATCGATGTGAAGGTACGGAAGAATCAAATTTAAGGGTGGAGAGAGAGAGAGGGTTTAGCCGCCATTGCTTCATCGGACGTTGCCCTTGAATTGCTTCCTATAGATGCTTCCGGTGCCTTATCCTTTAGGATTTCAGCACAAAATCTTTTCTCGAGACATGGGTTGATTGTCTTAGCGATTTTTCAACAACGCGGTCGTATTTTTAGATATGTTATCGATTCATCTCCACCAACCGCCCCGGAAAACTCTGACGTCCTCCGCCCACACGTGACGGCTGCTGAGATTGAGTAAATATGAAAGCCCTTAGGGAGTTTCCTCTCCGTGGCCGGTTGGTTGCAAGTTATAAATGTCATCCCCATGTAAATTTAACTATATGTAAATATGAATGACGGATATATTTAGAGCCAAATATGGATATAGTAGATATATATATTTTGAGGATATTGTGTTATTTGATTTCTTTCGATTCTTCTTCTCCTTTTCTTCAGGTCACCAATCTCCGCTGCGGAGGCATGATCCTGTGCACCGCGATCAGCCACTGCCTCTGCGACGGCATCGGCACGTCCCAGTTCCTCCACGCGTGGGCCCACCTCAGCGCCACGCCCAGCGCCCCTCTCCCCGTCCTGCCCTTCCACTGCCGCCACGTGTTGCGGCCTCAGTCGCCGGTCCACGCGAACCCCGCGCACCCCGCGTACACCCGATCCGCCCCCTCGCGGAATGACAAGACCGCCGCCCTCCCCGCCGACGTCCACCGCTACCTCCAATCCCAGCCGCTGGTACCCGTGAGCGTCACCTTCACCACGTCCCTCATCCTCCGCCTCAAGCGGCGGTGCGTGCCGTCCCTCAAGTGCACCACCTTCGAGGCCCTCGCCGCCCACACGTGGCGGTCCTGGGCCAGGTCCCTCGCCGACCATTCCTCCTCCTCCTCCTCCCCCTTGACGCCGCTCCACGCCGTCAAGCTCCTGTTCTCCGTCAACGTCCGGGACCGGCTCGACCCGAAGCTGCCGCGCGGCTACTACGGGAACGGGTTCGTGCTCGGGTGCGCTCCGGCCGCCGTGAGGGACCTCGTCGGGAACAACCTGGCCAGTGCGGTGAAGCTGGTGCAGGCGGCCAAGTCGCGCGTCGACGGGGACTACGCGAGGTCGACGGTGGAGACGCTGGAGGACAAGGCGGCGAGGACGGACCTGAGCGCCAGCCTGGTGATATCGCAGTGGTCGAACCTGGGGCTCGAGGATGTTGACTTCGGGGAGGGCAAGGCGGCGTTCATGGGGCCGTTGACCAGCGACGTGTACTGCCTGTTCCTGCCGGTCGCCGAGGAGCCTCACGCGGTGCGGGTGCTGGTGTCGATGCCGGAGTGCGTGGCGGAGAAGTTTGAGTTTCACATGAAGGGTTTTGTGGAGAGAGAGGAGAAGAATGGGAATGGGAATGCGTATGGCGGGGAAGGAGATGGATTGTGTTGTGAGGACGTGTGAATATGTTCATGCATATGCATGCTCTCTCTCTTGTGTACGTACGATGTTGATCGAGTTTCTTAATGAAAAGCCCACAGAAGATCGACACAGATGTTCTAATAGAATGATAATCACCATAAACCCTACAAGACATTGAATCCCACAACTAAAACTATGAGATTTGGGGTTATGATTATACACAGCGATCAACTTAGATTAAGTATTACAACAGAAAAATTTCCGTCTCTCACATGATATTGCGTAAACTATAGTGTAAATTTACTAAAACCTAGCTTTCAAGAGTTGGGTAAGTGGTCAAACCTTAATTCGGAGGTCATAAATTCATGTCCAAATCACAACCACTTCCCACTCATGATAACATCGGGAGTCGTGTCCGTCTTCTTATTATTAATGAAGCCATACACAGGATAAATTAGTCGAGTCGGAATGTTCGATCGTGTCCCGTCCTTTTTTTGGTCAAAAGTCCCGCCTTTACCTTTTGAAAAGTTTGATAAAAACTACACGGTGCACATAAAGGCCGGGGGGGAAACGAACTCCCCCTGCTTCTTAAGTGAGCCTAACATCAGCCGATGGTCATTTGAGAAAGCAAAGTGGCAAAAAGAGATCACAGCTGACTGTGAACACAACGACCGATCCAGGATTTGAAAAAAACCTCGAAAAGGCGAACTCTGCATGTCCATGAGCGCCACGCCAGACCAAAAGGAGGAGGGGAAAAGAAAGAAACGGTGGGTGCCGAATTGCACGCGCAGCATCATGTTGTGTCATCGAGGACGTATCGATCCCAACAAGCGTATCTCTTTCTTTAGTTAGTGCTTTCGATATTGTATTGGGGCATGCCATGACCAACCCTCCCAATATCGGCCAGAAACGATTAAATAAAGCTTGAAAAGTCGACCTCGGCCTGACCCAAGTGAAGATAGAACTTCATTAATTTACCAAGTTTGGAAAAAGGTTGCATCGATCTTGCCCCATGATGAATAAAATAGAACCCGAGTGCTCATATCGTGCAAAGTGCCACTCACACCCCCTCTTTTCTCTTTGAATCACGGGCAGAAGAGCATAGCCGGTGGAATATGTTAATATGCAGGCACAAGATTGTGATGCCATCATGAGCATTCTTCTTTTTCGCGTACATCCTGATGTCTCTCCACCATGCTTTTGACCGGGGAAAGCAAATCAAGGCGTTCTGAACGGCGTGTGGTCGAATCGGGTCGAATTGGCCAAAGCCGAGTGAAAAAATCGGATCAAGAATCGGGCCGACCCCTGATTAATAACCGATGGAGCGTGTCTCCTCGACCTTCGGAACGCTATATCTCATCGCATCATCTGACGCCAATACGATCGAAAAGGCATAGCCTGATGTAATTGTGAACCCATGCAAAAAGCCCCACATCAACCGAAAGTGTGGTTGATTGAGTGTGCATTTCTTGAAATTGCACGTTGAGAAAGATAACCTCCCGTCACTATGTGCTCATCAGAATTTGGCTTTGAAGAGTTTAGGGATCCGTCGGCATCAATTGATAGCAGAACTTGTCCTCAGCTTTTGAGAAAGGCCAGATGTTGCTTCATGTCAACTCCACGAGAACAAGGGACCCCGTTGCCACCTGTTTATGCACACTCTAGCTCACATGGAAGGTGGACAAATACATGATTTTTGTTGGAAAGAGCAGGAGCCAAGATTAACTTTGCATCCACACACGCTAGCTAGGAGGGGCAATTACTTCAGGACATCATTAGCTGAAAGCCTTAAATTTTGAAGTACCAAATTAAAGTCGCTCATAAACTATTTAATTGGTGCAATCAGGTTCAACCCTTTTTTAAAAGGCGTCATCCATTCCTTCCCATTATCACCCCGCCACATGTTTAGTCGAGAAAAAGGCAATCAAAACATTTGAAATGATGGATGGTGAAATCAGGATTGAGAATGGAGGATCGTATATGGAAGAAATTAACAGTATAAGGACTAATACGGAAATTACCACGTTTATTTCTTGTGTTATATTTGCATGTGGTTAGGTAGTAAGCATATTTATAACCCACCATAATGGCTTGATTGTTATATATGTATTCGGTCAATCTTCTATCGTCATGGTACAGTATTTTTCATGTTCTACGATGAAACCCCACTAGACCATTATTCGACCGCTACATAGACCCGCATGAAAAAGACATGTCATCTTGAGAACATTCAAAAGATTCCCAAGACAGCTAACCCTTTTCGTTTCTCACCGCGCAATTCTTCCTAGGTACCTCTCAAAGTGTAACGTGATATTTATGGAGAAATTCAGCAATTTCTCCGTTTTTGCTTAGAGGTGCGACAGTATGTTTGAGGACATCGCATCCACATTGTACTTCTCCATATCGAGGGATTCATTACTTACTCGTCATCATCGGTCGACTTTCGAAGGCATCATCTTTCGCATCTTTGACGATAGCCTGTTCCCTTCTTTCTTCTTCCTCTCCTTTTATCTCGAGAGAAGAAAAGTCATTTCCGGTTCTATCTAGCAAAGACTTTGATTTTCAATAGCCACTTTCCTTGACACGACGAGAATTGCGGTCCAACAAGATTTAAGTAATGAAAAAGCAGTTGCCAAAAAAGATGGCATGAGCTGATGAGCCTAGTCGATCATCACTTAGACGCAACGATAGAGCATGTTGCCTCACGAAAACCCCGCAAGCTAAAGTCGAAGAAGATCGCGGTTGAAACGTGGATTATATAGCCCAATCACACGATAGAAAAGGAAGCCAAAGCTCGTGAGGGAATGTCGATGACGAGCATCTTTTAGGATCTTAATGGTACATGAGGATATCATCTCGTGATGATAATGGAGATAGTGTGGTTGGTGCTAATCTACGATAGGGAAAAGAAATAAGGTCACATGCTGTCCGATCTGGATTTGCTAAGACAGATCGAGGAACTTCCACATTGATGGGACCCGACCATTAATCAAAGTTTGAATTGAGTTGTTCAATGTGCTTCATCATTGCATCCTCTCCTCCTACGAATGTTTCCAGGAATTGTTGCGAAGAGCCTCCCCAAGTTTGCACCTACATATCAAATAATATGGTAAATCTCGTGTACAAAATGCAATCGGGTTTTGAATCTCTCGATTCGTTCTATCGAGTCACGAACCTTTACCGACAAGTGCAATTGAGTTGTGTATCGAAAAGTACAATTCAAGGACATTATGTAGACAATTTTTTAGTGCTTTGTATACAATTTTAGGTACCGCTCATCGAAATGATTTCGTTACACTTTTGAAAAGAAAAAAAATCACAATTTGGTTGAACCAATTAAAAATTTTAGGGTCCGGTTGCATTTCGTAAATAAAAATTTAAAACATTCGACGACAGTACTCACTATTTAAGAGTAGGCATGTTGCCATCAGATCAGATGATGTGGGACTCCGAGCTGCTTTGCTTTCTTCTGCATCAACATCCTTCACTCGATTTCATCATCCTATTTTATTTTTCTCTTTCTTTTTTTGGCTATTTGTTCTCTTATGCTGTCCGTAGTATTTCTGACCCAAATTTAGCAAAAATCACATGCATGCGATGGTGATATTGACATGTCGGTAGTGGATTTTTCTGCTCTAGAATCTATCCTGGGATCGAATGCCGACCATGTTTTTCAGATCACAATATCTCATTGCACTTGCTCTTGATTGTGTGAATATAATCTTTAGTTAGTTACGCATAGAATAATTTATGCTGCGCAATCACGCGTCGCAAATCACTAGACTTAGAATTCAAGATTCGAGAGTATATTTTCTCGTGTACGAGAACATAAGTGTGTTGAGCTATGAATACAGTTGCACTCGTGCTCGACATAACAAATGTTCAGAGTACTTTAAGCTGTGGTGGCCTTAGATTTTTTCTTCTTTCTTTGAGGTCAAGGCTCAAAAGGTGGAGGATAAACATGAGCATGTTCGAATTGACTTTACATTTTACCTTATGCTCCACCAGAATAATGCGGCTCGCACACTTTCCCCTTTTTATAAGCCGGAACGCTTGATATTAAAAAAAAAATGCAAATATCGACACGTAAGTTTTCATATATCTATTCATATCTTTTTGGGATTTAACTAATATTCTACATTTTAGTGAGGAAGCAAAAAAAGTACCCTTTTTTAGATCACGACACCTCATTGTACTTGCTCTTGATTGTGTGAATATAATCTTTATTTACTTACGCATCGTAAGAGAATAGTTTATGCTACGCAAATCACGAGACTTACAATTTCAAGATTCGGGAATATATTTTCTCGTGTTCGAGAACACAAGTGTGTTGAGCTATGAACAAGGCCATACTTGTGCTCGACATAACGAATGTACAGAGTACTTTAAGCTATGGCCGTAGATGTTTTCTTCTTTCTTCGAGGTCAAGGCTCAAAAGGTAGAGGATAAACACGGGCATATTTGGATTGACTTTACATTTTATCTTCTGCTCGACCAGAATATTGCGGAACTTTCCCCTTTTTATAAGCCAGAACGCTTGGAATTTTTAAAAAAAAAATGCAAATATCAACACGTAAGTTTTCATATATCTATTCATATCTTTTGGGGATTTAGCTAATATTCTACATTCTAGTGAGGAAGCAAAAACGTACCCTTTTGTTCATTTTTGCTTAAACTCAAACAGCAAAGCCTGTCACTTGGCTTGGTGGGTTTAGGCCCAAAACATGAAAGAGGCCGAATCCACCGTTTTACTAATTGTTCTGGACCTTTGAAGTGAAAGATGGACTTACAAGAAAATGGAGTGTTTTGCTCGATTTGTTTGGCTGGTGTCTTAGTGCATGAGGTTTAGCCAAATCGTCGAGCCATATTAAAATTTTTGCACATTAGCGAAAGCACATTTGAAGTATCGAATTCGATCCCGCCGCGAACGAATCGAAAAGCAAATCGAAGACAAAGCGACGGACAGTCGTTACAGGATTGACTCTCGTGGGTCCAGAGTTTTTCGTCGTGAATGGCATTGTCCTTGGCCATAGCCGTCGAGTGTTATATCGTGATTCGCTCTGACTCGCACTATTGAGAAGTTATCGCGTGACCGCGATACTTAATCTAGTTAGCTTCTAGAAATTAAGACACGAGTAGGGGTAATTGATTCCAAGTCCGATCCGATCCCTCTTAAGAACCGGGAACCGAACAAGAGGAACTGGTTTCCAGTTTCCGGAACCGGTCGAGTATTATTGAAACTGGGAAGATCATGTGCTAACAACTAGGATCAAGGAAAATACAATGACGGATTTTACCTCATACGATGACGAGAGCACATGAACTTTGGATTCACCTGCATTTCCATTTTCCGAAGCATCTACACCCCTAGAAAAGAGAGAATAAAAGTTCAAAACTTTACCGACAACAGACACCCAAAAAGGAAAAAAGAAAAAACAGAAAACGGCAAAGACCTTAGAATCAATCACCTAATTTCTTATCAATGGAAGAGTCGCGTTGCAAGAATCCATGGCGCCAATGGGATCAAGGGTCAAGAACGAAAGAAGAGATAGAGAGGGAAAGGGAAACACCAAACGCGATGGAGAGAGAACGGGGTTATGGAAAGACCAATTACACGAATGGGATCGCATTTGCCATGCATTTTATCAATAAAAATAAAATGAGGGATTTTAAATTATTAGGTTTATATTTAAATAAATAAATAATAATCGATCCAGACGGTCCCATTCCTCTCTTGAAATAAGACACCAGACCGCTTAGACACCGGCTTTACTTTGAGGAACCAAGAATCGGACAGACACTCGTGAGAATCGGATCGATTCAATCTGAGTAATCCCCATTTGATCGATCCGTCTTGCTCACCCCCTAAATATTATATGGGAAGGAAAATTTTATCGTCCTAGGTGATTGAGGAAAAAGCAATAAATTATTATTAAATTTTCATATAAATTTTCCCGATGTTTTCAATTGAATGGAATCAGGTCGATATTTGGAGGAAGAATACAGCGAACAACAAAAACAGAAAAAGAAGATATTTTTTTTGGCCTGAGGAATCCCTATCCAAATCACGCTGGCAACAAGGAGCCACGTGGCTCGCATCTACGACTCTTGAAGTTTTCGGCCGCCGGCATTAGCGAAAACATCCAATGATGACGTCAGCCTAGGGAAGGGCTCAATTGTCCAAATACGCTTTATTTGTCGGGGCATAATGTCGGAACTGCCCTCCTCCCTCGTCCGTAATTATTTAATTAGCCTTTGCTTCGTTTTTTATTTCCTATGTTGGAAGTATTCTCAACATTATTATTACACGACGTACCCACTTTGATAAATTCCACTAACATCTTTTTCCTTTTTTTATAACAAGAGAAAACCGGGTAATTCTTGACCTCATGAAATGTGACTCCGACATAAAGTCGAGGTCTAGATGAGTGAATCGAATATGAAAGTATATTCACTTAATGGTATGCGGATCGAACCGTATCGAGAGCTTTATTTACATACACACTTGTTGTAGTCCCACGCGATTTATTAAAAATCCATTGGCAAGATTCCTTGGTACTCACTGAAGACACTTTCGACGTGGGCATTTTCCAAGTCAATGTTAGGTCGAGCAAGGTACAATGTCTATTCAACCCATAAAATAAAGGGTATGATATCTTACTTTTATATTGTCCTATTGAGAACACCTTTCTCTCGATCCAGATTCAAAAAATTGAGAAATAATTTTGAAATCGATAATCTTTTTGGATCCTCAGTGATGGGTTATCGAGAATGCCTCACCAAAGCAATAGAGGCATAAGCTTCTAATCGGGGCTGTCCCCGCCAGTCCAATGGTACTTGACGGACTGTCAGAACTGCGTTCTATATTTTTTTGTGCCGGTGCGTACATGCCCAATCCCCTAATTGAAGAGATAGATTTTTTTTTCATCTTTCAAAGGATTACCCCCCGAATTTTACGCCCTAGAGTTCAGACGGAGCAATTTAAAGGATATACAGAGGTCCGGAATACCTTTCTGTTGACCCAGCTTAAAAAAAATTGATAAATTCATTTTTGAAATCGATGGTTAACCTTGTAAATATTATTAACTTTAATCATCGATAAAACTGATACATATATATATATTAAGTAGGCGACAACGTCGCGCATGAATAGTAGTAAGAAGAAGCCCGCACCAAGGTTATAATCGTAAATTCGGGTAAAAAATTATTGGATAAAAACAATTCTTGCATTTAATAATAATATCTCCTCCCTCCCTCTCTACAGACAGAAGAAGCAAGAATCTCTTATCCCCTCTTTCTCTCTCTAGCTCTCTCGCTTTCTCTCTCTCTCTCTCTCTCCTTCGGCCATTTTTCATCTGATCCTTCCTTTCCTTTCCCTTCCCACCGCTCGCCGGTCCTCCGATTCCATCGTCTTCGCTCGCTTCTTCCGCTTCCCTCCCTCTCTTTGCTTCGATCCTCCTCGCTGTTGCAGCAGTCGCCTCTCGCGCGCGCGCGCGCGCACGCCGGCCGTCCGCCGGCGTTTCCTCGGGGGTCCTTGGCCTTTCGCGCGGCGAAGCTCCGGTTCGGCGATCGGAGGCGGAATTCGGCGGCGGCGGCGATCGGCTTCTCCGTCGAGGTGCGTCCCGATGGGTCTTTGTTGCGTTGCTTCGGGCCGTTCTTCTGTATTTTTTTTCTTTCGCGGTACGCTGGGTGTAGGTGAGAGGCTAGGGCTTTGGCGATTGATTCCTTTCGTCGTGGTGTTTGTCGTCTCCTGCGCTTGCGCGGTTCGAGGCTCGAGCTTGAAGTGTTTGAGCTTTGTTTGATTCGTTTTGCTGGTACCAAACGGGGTTACTGTAGGTGGAGATTGGAGTTTCATGTGTGTTACAGTTCGAGTAGGAGTCGGTGTTTTGGTTGGAGTTGTGAATGGCGAAACGTCTTGGCGACTGGAAATCTTGTTTCTTTCTTCTTCTTTTTTTGTAATTTTTACGCGCGTTCAATTGGGTTGTGTCTAAATATGCTTGCGATGGAAGCATTTTCGTCGTAGCAAGTCAAGATCACTCAGTAGTCCAGTTCAGTTCGGAACGCTCTTCAGTGTGTGCCAAATTTTGCTTCTTTTTTTTCCCCTTCTTCTTGTTTTATGTACTCTTTCGGGCTTATTGTAATTCTCTTTCTCCATCAATGTCTCCGCTCCGTAGACTTTGATAGAGGAGGCATGGGATCATTACAAGGACCCGTCATTTGTCCCACCGTTAATGCGAAGCAAGCCGGTGCCTGCACTGTCCCCGTGACTGCCCCATTCATGAAGCCTAAGCTTCTTAGAAGTGAACTTTGGGGATGCAGGGGATCTCTTAGAGCTAAAACTAAAGTTGCTACAGTTACCCGCCTTTCAATCACTCGAAGATGCCGGGTGCCACGGTGCAGCTTCAGTTCGTCCTCGGACGGTAATGGAAGCACTGCAGAGAACTTCAATGAAAATGATGAGGACTATGTCAATTCCAGTATAGTTGAAGCTGGTATGGAATCCAGATGTTGATCGTTGATTTGGTTGCTTCTTTGTCCTCTTAAAATTCATCTATGTTTTTCACTCGGCAGTTATTTTTTTGGTTGTTAAGTTAATCTTTATTTGCTCAACCAGGGTAAATCATGGGTTGAAAAATCCTATTACATGCGAAAATCACAACACACTACACTGTCTTACAGAACTTTGAAAACAAAGGAAGACAGGACAACAAAAGAACCTCAAAGACAACTAAAACAATCTCAAACATCAACCTGCAGTTGATTTCGGTCAATTTAATGACATTCACCTTTGGCATTTATTCCTGGCTGAAAAGGGAGGCCATGGTCTGTGCTTAGGTTCCTGCACTTGGGCTGTTGATTAAATTTGTTTACACATGTTTAATGATGACAATATTAAATCGCATGCTTACAAATTAAAAGCTTATATCTGTATACGTGAAATAGATTCTTTCTATTTTACCTTATTGCTCTCACCTAATTTAGGTACTATCAAAAACCGAAAGTTTGGTACTTTGAATTTTATTCTGCAACGCCAGTCACAGCCAGTCTGGTTAATGCTTTGATATTAAGATGTTATTGCTTTCATAATTGTCATAGTCAATTCATGTGGCTAATATTAGCGACGATATGCAAATAGAAGATATGCATCTTTTTGTAAAAGGGGTAGAGGGTTTAGTGCGGTTCAAAGCCAGGTCTACTGCAGTGCTTGAGGCAGGGCTGCATTTTCCAACTGAGCAAGCCTTCGATAAAAGATTTCATAAGGAAATTTACATTAGCACCCATTACACTTTAGACATCAAACATTCACCCTAGGTCCAAAAAAGTTTTTATAGCTGATGCTCTTTTGAAACGTAGCATGGTTATAGTAATATGTGGAATAAAGAATTATGAGAATGGGGTTTGAACCACTGATGGAAGAATAATGTGAACTGATTTTGGATTGATTGCTGAAAAAGATTTAAGCTTTGAGTTTCAAGCAGTTTCCATGGGGAGTGTAAGCTTCTTTGCTAAAATATTGTTTCCTGATTTTATAAGAATTTGTAGGCTCTTTCCTCAAGTAGTTATCTACCCTAGTTGAAGTAAATTTCTTGCTATTTATAGTCTAGATTGTTGATATTTGTATACCTCGTTTGTTGTGGACAGTTGAGGTGAAGAGTGGGGCAGAAGGTTTCACGATTAAAATGAGGGATGGAAGGCACTTAAGATGTGTCCACAACAATCCTCAAGGGGGACATCTGCCAGATTATGCTCCGCATCCGGCTATTGTCCTAAAGATGGAAGATGGGACCGGTCTTCTCCTCCCTATAATCGTTTGTACGTGCATCTTTCTTTCTTTATTTTTTAAAGATGTTCTCATTGTCGTGTGAGTATCATCGGGAGTGCCCCTGGCTGCCATGTGGAATGTTTCCATTCTTCTTTAATGCCTTTTTTCCCCTTTGACTGCAGTGGAGATGCCAAGTGTCCTTCTCATGGCTGCTGTGCGGAACATTCAAATTGTATGTCATTATGTTTTTTTTCCCTTTCAATTGTTCGTTTTCTGCACTTTGTAGTAGAATGATGGATTCTGTTGGTTTGAGAACTAAACAATCCTCTTTGCTTTTTGTTGCAGGCTAGACCAACTTTATATCAAGTGGTTAAGGAAATGATTGACAAGATGGGATATGAAGTAAGTTTATGCTTTATCTGGTTCTTGTTCAGAATAATGCTCTTTTCATTGTCATAACCGTGGTTCCTGCAGGTCAGACTTGTCAGAGTCACTAAGAGAGTTCATGAGGCATATTTTGCTCAGTTATATCTTACAAAGGTTGGATACTTTTACTTGAATTCATCTTTCTTTTTCTGAAGATATATACAGTCTGAATTTTTTGCATTTTATGCAGGCGTCATAATGTAGTCTTAATATATTTAAGCTGTTTATATTGGTCTTTCAAATGGGTAGCATACATATGCTTGTTAGGAGGAGCATAAATTACCAAAAGTCTTTGTGATTTATACTGATATGAGAAATTGATTTGCCTCTTGTAAAAGAGGCTGATATTTAAGTAGACTTTTGTTGTAATCTTGAAGTAAAGTTTTTCTCGATGAATGATCTTAAGCTTTTATTGATCACAGACGAGCAACAAATCAGAATTTGTCAGCTTTGATCTCCGACCTTCAGATGCCATCAACATTGCAGTAAGATGCAAGGTACTCAAGAGTGACAATTTGTGAATTATTTCTTAAGGGCGTGTAATGCAGAGGTTGAGGTGTTGGCTTGAAAGCTGAATAACAGGATGAAATTAAAGTTTTAAGTAACTAGAAAGACCTTTGTTTAATACATGGCCCACTTCACAACTTAAGGACTGAATGCAAGATCTAAAAATCAATTAATTGCATCTCATCTTCTGTATCCTGTTCCTTTGCCGAAAACTTAGTAGTGAATCCAGTATACAATTCAATAAAGAGAAAATTAGAATCTGTACTTTTAGGTCTGTCGGTACATCTGAATCTTGAAGTAAGTTAACTGATTTTATCATTGTGAGATTGACATTCCAAGAAGCGTTGATGAATAGTGAAGCGGACGGAAGGGAGCTAGTGGATGGGAGGTATCCAGCATTTAGCTTTTTCATGTTTCCCTGAGCGAAGGTGTCGCGCTTTTTTGTTGGCAGGTGCCAATACAAGTGAACAAATATTTGGCTTACAGTGATGGTATGAAAGTTATCGAGTCTGGCAAGCTTTCAGCGCAGACCCCTGGTTCGGATGGGTTGTTGTTCACAGAACTTGATAGGTTTGTCTAATAAGCTTGTTTGGTTTGCAATTGACAGTACTCACGTAATTGACGGCATTTGTTAGTAGTGTGCATATGTTTTGTGGGCTGGATATGTAAACAGATCTGATGTCCTTTCTTGGAGCATTGTTATGTGCACAATTCGTTTGAAATTGTTGTCCTCTAAGCTGTGTTTTAGTGGACATAAATGAAAGACAAAATTAGGACTTCATTGCTTTCAGGCCTAGTGGTCAGCCATGCATTGAGACAAAAGAGTTTGATCTGGTGCGCAACATGCTCATAGCTGCTGTAGAGGAGCGCTACAGAGATGCTGGTACGTCTCGTTTTCTAATTTATTCTTCTTTTTTTTCCTTTAAGTCTTGGAGCAGGAACTAAATGAACGAGGGCATCAGTCTTGTTCCTCTACATAAATTGGCTACTGTGGTTTGTTTGTCTATAAATTTATGTTTACCTAATGCATGTATTCCTAGGTTGGAAGCTTTCACTTGTGGACTCCAATCCTTTCCGTTCAATGCCCTGAATCTTTAAATTCTACTTTTTATTTAATGGCGCGGTCGTCCCTGCCTGGACTTCCTCGTTTTGGTTTTGGTTAACGTACACCTCCAAATTCAGCTAAGATTAGGAAAATTTCTTATTAAATTTCTTGAAATGACATGTTTGTTGGAGAAAAGTGCTATGGATGTTTACTAATCAACTGCTTGTGAAGTGAACTCGGAAAATTGCACGTTTTTTTCCTCTCAAGTCTATGGTGAATGGCTTTTGTGGTGATTCTTTGTTCTGTGGCAGCTCAATGGAGGGACAAACTAAGCCAGCTGCGAGCTAAAAGGAACTTCACATGACACGTAAAGGTTGTTGTAGCGTACTACTCTTAAACTCCTCCCTCGTCCACCCCCCTTTTTCCTTTCCACATCCGCGCCTCCCTCCTCTTCTCTTTTCATGCTAACGGAGAACTTGTTCGTTTTTCGTTTCAGATGCTACGACGAGTCCAAACTGTACATAAACATTATTCGAATCCGATGAGGACACCATTTCGAGTGATCCGTCGTGTCCGCTCCCCCCTGCCTCCTATATGTATGTAACAATGTTTGTGAATATATGTGTATAGAGACTGAACTCCCAACTGTTAATGCTACGGTAAATGCGATATGGTAAATGCGAAGTGGTCAATTGAAGTCGATAATTTATGCTTTGTAATCCATTTATTTGTCTGCATTTCAATATTCTGATACGCTTTGAGTTTGAGACGAGGCATCATTCATCGCAGAATGCTGACATGTTACTGCTGTCTGAATGACGGGGTTGGTTGGAACCGGTCCGACATTTAGACCGTATTTATTGTGCGTGAATCGCAAGATTTGTTTGTGGTGCATGTTGGTTGGTGGTGAAGCAAACATCATTGAAAATCACATGACATGATCAGGAGGGCCTCGAGGCTTGATTGATTGTCTCTTTGCTGCGAGCTCCAGAGTGGTGGGAAAATTATATGGTCTGTCTTTATGGGACCGGTTCGGCGTTCAATGCAGACCGTTGGATAAAAAGAGAAGAAAGATGTGATCCATCAGATTTGCCTTTCAAGAATTGAATTTTGGCCGAATTTCCGGCACACAGGTTTCAAAATATTAGCAAGTGTAAACGAAAGTGTACGGGTTAGTCAGATATTTTATTGACAGTTAGTATATAAGAAATTTTTTTGTGGAATATTACGAAACGCTTTATAAAGAAAAGTTATGAAAGGATATGCAAATAGATAAATTGTTGTTCGTCAGAGCGATCATTTACGGAAAGTTACGATTCATTAGGTAAATTTACTAACAATAAGAAAAGAAGTTTTGAGTTTAACTTAGGCAGGCTATTATTTTTTCTTATGGTAAAAGTGGTTGTCTGGTGGATCTTGTCTGAAGATGAATAATTTGAGCTAACTCATGATATCTTTTTTTGTTTTGGTCAGATAACTCATGATATCTAGGTGGTCTACTTTTCACTCTTTACTTGAGTACCACATGCAATGTTTTGTGGTGAGCACATAACTCAGTGAGGCCAGCTGTAAAATTTTTAGGCCAATTGTTAAAAAAAAAAGCGTGAATTTAATCCTTCAGGATTAAAATAATCCCACTTTTTGAACAATAAAAAAAACAAATGCATTTTCTTTTTTCTCGAGAGAAAAAAATATTTATGAGTTTACATTTTAGAATTAAAATAACTTCACTTTTCGGACAACAAAAACAAATAAAAAAACCTTTTTTATTTTAGAAAAAAGCACAAACTTTACTTAAGAATAAGAGGTTAATACCACAAAAAACCCTAAACTGGTATACTTATGACATATTTACCCCAAATTATTTTTTTTACCACAAAAAACCCCAAACTGGTACATCTATGACAATTTTACCCCGAACTATTTTGTTAACCACCAAATATTCCAAACTTGTACACTAGTGACAATTTTACCCCGAACTAATTTTTAATATTATTTTTTATTTTTTCGAATTTTTTTAGTTTTTCTTTTCTTTTCTTTTTTTTCCTTCATCTTTAACCTCTAGCCGGCGAGGTCGGCCCCGCTGGCGAGGCTGACCTCGCCATTGCTGGGCGAGGCCGACCTCGCTGGCAACTGGCGAGGTCGGCCTTGCCCCACCCCTGGCGAGGTCGAACCTCGCCAACTCGGCCCCAAACCTCGCCAGTTGTCGGCGGGGCCGAGCCTTGCCAGTGACGGCAAGGACGACCCCTCGCCGGCAACTGGCAAGGTCAGCCTTGCCCACCCCTAATGACGGCGGGGCCGGCCTCACCGGCAACTGGCGAGGTCAGCCTTGCCCACCCCTGGTGAGGGGTCATCCTCGTCGTCGCTGGCGAGGTTCGACCTCGCCGCTTTTGGGCGAGGCAAACCCCGCCAATTGCCGGCAGGGCTGAGCCTCGCCAGCGACGGTGAGGACGACCTCTCGCCGGCAACTGGCAAGGTCGAACCTCGCTAGGGGTGAGGCAAGGCCGACCTTGCCAGTTGCCGGTGAGGTCGGCCTCGCCCAACAACGGTGAGGTCGGCCTCGCCAGCGGCCGGTGGGGCCGACCTCGTCGGCCAGAGGTTGAAGATGAAGGGAAAAAAAAAAGAAAAGGAAAGAAAAAAGTAAAGAAAAGAAAAACTAAAAAAATAATATTAAAAAAATAGTTTGGGGTAAAATTGTCACAGGTGTACCAGTTTGGGGTTTTTGGTGGTCAAAAAAATAGTTTGGGGTAAAATTGTCACAGATGTACCAGTTTGGGATTTTTTGTGGTCAAAAAAATAGTTTGAGGTAAATTTGTCACAAATGTACCAGTTTAGGGTTTTTCGTGGTATTAACCCTAAGAATAAAAAAATTCACTATTACCTCCTTTTGAAAAAAAAAGGTTATGCGGCATCTGGCGGGTGGGACGGTTCCGGTTCTCAGCCTATCCTGAAACCGATCACCCCCAATCTAGACTTGAAGACACCTTCTCGGAGACATTGAGCTAAACAATCCAAAACATTCTCTTGAGGATCTTGTTAAAAAATGCTCCTATAACACTAATTAAGCAAATTAAAGTATGAGCTGCACAATCATTCACTCGAGTTCATGGAACTTACTCGTAAGTTGAACGAGAAAAGCTTGATAGATTATACTTTCTCCTCAATCAGTAGTCTCAAAACTTGACTTTAATCAGGTGATAGAATTGTTTCCGAAAACAAATGGGAAAAACTCGTAAGTTCGCACGTCAATAACAAAACTGTTGGAAGATCAAATATTCACGCTTCACCATCCGACGAGCAAAAGCTTCAATAGAGACATCCTGATGTACAGACCGTTCTTCGCTTGACGAAAATAGGCGGCCCTAGGATCGTCATCGACATCCACCGTAATCTACACAGCATCGTGCAAACGAGAAAAAGAACCAAGAGATCAGTTACTGCATATCAGAAGCTTCGACTTTACGGTGATTGTAATAACACGATATACTTGTACATGAATAGAAAGGGGTGAGAACTTACCTCATCAAGCCTAGGAAGAGGGTGCATCACCACAGCATGCTTCTGCATCGTGTTTATCACGTCTTTGTCGACAATGTACTTGCCTCGCGCTTCTTCATAGAGATCAATTCTCTCTCCAAAACGCTCGCGTTGGATGCGTGTTTGGTACACCACATCGCACTTAGAAGCCACTTCCATTAGATCAGCGCTCTCTTCCCATTCCACCTCCTTCGATGTCAAGTACTCTTTAATGTCGTCCTGATGAAACAATTACAACGCATGAGCTATGGAAACTTAGCTCAAATGAGAATTGAGAAAAGCGCCTTCATTTTCCTCCCCATATTCCCAAATACTTAAAAAAGAAAAAGAAAAGTGCTAATTCATTTTAGTGGGTCAAAATACATGGCAAAACTTCTTATCAGTCGGTTTCTATAGATTTAGAGAGAACAGGAGGGCCAATGAAGAGACGTATGCAAAGAAGATTAGTGCCTACCTTCATCTTGACAACATCAGGAGATACAAAATAAATCTTCACGCCTTGGTACTTGGCAAGCAAATATGCAAGAGAACGAACCGTCCTTCCATTAGCAAGGTCTCCAACAAGTGCTACTTTAATGCCATCCAGCTTCCCAACCTCCCTTTCAATCGTATACACATCTAAAAGAGCCTGACCCAGAGCCAAAATATTGACATATCAGGCGTGTCCTAATAACAATTTTCATCCGAACAACAAATACAGGTGTCATAATCAACGACAAGTACAAGGGGATTATGAAGCTAATCATCACCAAGCAATGAAACTTTAAGAATGCTCATCAACCCTCCATATGTAGAGCACTCAAAGGACATTTATTCATTGGTACCGAGATTTTCACATACGCCTGATTGATGCCAAAGTAACCAAGAACTAGGTCAATGCTAACTATATTATCATCTAGATACTTATAACAAAGAAATATGGAGCATGCCTGAGTCGGATGCTGTCCTGGACCATCCCCTGCATTAATGACCGGGATTCCAGCTGTCGCTGCTGCTCTTCTCGCAGCGCCGCTTTCAAAATGCCGCATCACAATAATATCCGAATAGCCCTCAACGGTTCTTATTGTATCTGCAAACCAAGCAATGAAATAGATGCTTAATTGCATTGCAACTTCCTCAGTAGTCATGCAGAGACACAAGTCAAAATCACCTTCCAATGTTTCGCCCTTTGCCGCTGATGAGAACTCACGTGCATTTTCAGTGGTTAAGACCTCACCACCTAACCTTTTCATGGCAGACTCGAATGAAAGCCTAGTCCTGGTAGAGGGCTCATAAAACAGAGTAGCCATCAGATAACCCTTGAGAATTTGACTTCCAGGAGAATTCTTTTCTACCTTCTCCATGTCACGTGCAACTTTGAAAATAGCAGTAAGAGTATCTCTGTCAAACTGCTGAGCTTCAATCACATCGTCGAGTTGAAACTTCTTCCCGGGCGAAAACATAGCCCTTGAATTGTCGACATTCATGGCTGAGCAACGGACTCCTTTTCTCTGTGAAGATCTTTCAGTCAGAGCCAACTTCAATGGATTGCCACTAGATGACAACCTCATCTTTGTCATATAAGCACGAAAAGAAACCGCATTACATTGAACCGGCTGTTTGCACAAAGAGGTGGATATATTGAACAGGCATTGGGGGGAATTTCTAGCTTCAGGACAGGATATTTGCCCTTGTATCGTGTATGCAGAGAACGAGGAAGAAGAAGCCATTGCAATCTACAAAAATTGAATCACAATATTAGCCAGAGGAAATAAGATATTTCACATTGGACGAACCAAAACAAGAGCTCTGGTAGGGCAGGAGTAAAACATTTAGATCATAATGCATTTGAATGCATCCTAAAATTTGCCTAATTCCTTTTACACAAACTCGAAGGTCCCAAATAGCGAAATAGCTTCTAGTTGTCTCAAAAGAAGGAAGCACATTGACAAATTCCTTCTAAGTGGCACTTTAACATGATCACAGATACCAAGCTGCGAAAATAACGAAACCAATCGAACTGGAATTAGACAAAACAAAGACAGCAAATCAAATCAGACTCCAGGAAAAACCAAGCTTTCGGGGTCGCATCCCTCTGTTTCTGGGTGCTCAGTAATTTATTTTATTTTATTTGCATAACAAAGAAAGCTGGATAAGATAGCTAAAAGCATCTGAAGATTTTTGCCAATGTCCAGGCGAGGCGAGTTCAATCAAGGACTGACACTCATCTGCTCAGCTGTGTCAAACAAAATACAAATAATTGAGAAAACTTTCCAGCGCTCTGAAATAAAGACCGCAAGTTTCCCAGCAACAGAAAGGCATCCACAGATTAAGGCGGTACCCACTACCCAGTAAGCAATACTAAGGTCTCAAATAGCGAAATAGCTTCTAGTTGTATCAAAAGAAGGAAGCACATTGACAAATTCCTTCTGAGTGGCACTTTAACATGATCACAGATACCAAGCTGCGAAAAAAACGGAACCAATCGAACTCGAATTAGACAAAACAAAGACAGCCAAATCAAATCAGACTCCAGGAAAAACCCAAGCTTTCGGGGTCACGCGTCCCTCTCTGTTTCTGGGTGCTCCGTAATTTTGCTCCAATTCGCATAACAAAGAAGTCCGGATGAGATAGCTGAAAGCATCTGAAGATTTTTGCCAATGTCCAGGCGAAGCGAGGCGAGTTCAATCAAGGATTAACACTCATCCGCTCTCAGCTGTGTCAAACAAAATACTCAAATAATCGAGAAAACTTTCCAGCCGCTCCCAAATGAAGGCCGTAACTTCCTCAGCAACAGAAAGGCATTCCCAGATTAAGGCGGTACCCACTGCCCAGTAAGCAATATTAAGTCGAAAGAAAGCAATACCAACGTAATCCACGTAAAAATCGAAGTGTCGGCTCACTCCGACAACCGTATGAGAGAGAAAGAGAGACAGAGAGAGAACCGCTTCAATGGTGGAGAGTGCGGCGCAGCTCGTCGTTAAAACATGTCGGAAGAATCTGCGGAGAGAGACACGGGAGAGAGAGAGACCGAGCTGAGAGAGCAAGACGAAGAAGAAGAAGAAGAAGAATCATGTCAAGGAAGATGACGCCGGCTCGGCTCTGCTGCGCCTTGGAAAAAGAGCGAGGGTAAGGGCATCTATGCTATTCTGGAATTCTTGAAAATAAAGAAATTAATTTCAAATAGCTCCTTTATAAACCAGGAAAATTAAGAAAAAAGAGCGCTTCTTAATTAAAGCTTAATTAGAAGAAGTGATAAATTTTCTTTAAAAAGTGTTAGGTCGCTCTCGCACCGCACGTTGCCAAATATTCGGATTCCGATACTAAACAAGTCTTTGTCAATGTGAAGATCAGTAGTGTTAGGCCGCACGTGAGAGGAGTTCGTAATTTAATTTTTTTTGAAGAAGCGGAAGTCATTTTCCATATATTTAGGCTATTTTGTGAGGAGGGAAGGAAAATATTTTCCCACGGAAAACGTTTTCCGCCTCCGAACACCGGAAACTTCGGAAAATATTTTCCTAAGAATATTTTCCGCCAAACGACGCTAAGTGCGCGTCGGTCGCTCTCGCACCGCACGTTGCCAGATATTCGGATTCTGATACTAAACAAGCCTTTGTCAATGTGAAGATCAGTAGTGTTAGGCCGCACGTGAGAGGAGTTCGTGATTTAATTTTTTTGTATGATCGTCAAAGTTGGGATTGGATCGCGTGGGAGAATCTTGCCGCAAAAAAAAAGGGGCCAATACCATAAAAAACCCTAAACCGATATACATGTGACAAATATACATCCGTTAGTTTTCGTTAAATTTTACCGTCAAATTACTGAGTTGGATGACACGTGGCAGTTAACGGGTGTCTCGATTTGGAGTTTTACCCTTCATTTGTCACGGGTTTACCAATTTATGATTTTTCTGGTATTTATTTAAATTAACGAAAACTAACGAATGGTAAATTTGTCATACGTGTACCGGTTTGAGATTTTTGGTGTTCAAGAAAATTAATTTTTTGTGGTATTAGCATTAAAAAAAAAAAAAGGGTGCGATTCTTTTCCATCCACCCTCCTGTTCCATCCACCCTCCTGTCCAGTGTCCGAGAAAACAGTCATAGAATTGCAAAGATGGTGATTGGATTGAATCACTCTTTTATCTTAATTTAAGTTTTTTGGTCGAATCTTTCTAACAAGAAGTACATATCATTTTCACTTTCTCATACAAGTTTCACTCTCTCATCGCTTATATAGGTACCGATAGATCTGCTATTATTCAAAGGCGTTAAAAGCTTTGAATATGGTAATAGTATTCAAATCCAAGTAATTGCATAAGAGTTTTCTAAGCTGACAAAACCGAGCAGCGCGTGCCTTCCAACTATATCTACGTTAAAGTCCTTTAATTCGACTATCGTGTTCTCAAGGAAATTCTTTAGCCATAAATTCTTTTGTATCATCCACTTCTTATAGCACACTAAAATTGATAAAGACCGATATCACAATTTATGTAAGATACGTGAGATTTCTAGGTAGATCCATCAAATTTGAGGGGAAAAAGTCGCGAAAAACTCTAAATTATACCTACCGTATTTTTTTTTGTAACATTAAAAACTCAAAATTATGCCAACTGTGGCTCATCTACCCTAAACTTTTTCTCGTGACACAAAAAAAAATGCCAGACTTGTACCCATACGACACATTTATCCTCCTCCGTCCAGGTTCGGTCAAGATTGATCCAGTCGAAATACCATCATTTTTATTTCACTTAAGCCACGTGGGCGCCATGACAAAAAGGTAAATGTAGTTTGAGATTTAATGGACATAATTTGAAGTTTTTGGTGCAAAAATTTCCCCCTTTTTTTTCTCAAGGTAAGCCAACCGGTTGGTGTTTTTTATTTTATTTTATTTTCTCCCTTTATTTCTTCAATTCCTTATTTATTTATTTATTTTTGGGGGTAAACAAAGTAAGAAGCAGCGCGGGGGTAGACAAAATCAGTGAGTGGCACACTCCACTCCACTCTTCCCGCCAAAGCACGCGAACGCTCGAACGAAGCCACTCGAATCCTTCCAGATGGTCTCATTCATACATTCATCATCATCATCATCATCATTCTCCCTCGCTCTCAACGTCAACGTCAAACCCCGACGTTACGCCCGCCCCTCCGCGTTCCTTCTTCTCCCTCTCCCTCACTCACTCTCCGTCGTCGGTTGAAGCCTCTCTTTTGCTTTGGCGTTACACTCCGGCAATCTCTCTCGCGCGCGGACGCCTGAGATCCCAGCCGGTGCGTCGCCGGTAAGAAGAAGAAGAACCGCCGGTTCCGCCTTCCGAGGGAGGCGGGGCGGCGGAATCGCCGGTGGAATTTTCGACGCTCGTGCACCTCGGAGTTCGGTCCCCGCGTCGTCGGAGCTCCGGGGGCGGGGGGGGGGGGGGGGGACCGCGCGCGGTCCCATGTCTCGACCGGTTGACCGGGTGGTCGCCCGAACATGTGAGTGGCGCTGCTGATCGTTTCGCCTCGCCGGCGGCGTCTCTTCGCCGCTCGATTCGCGATTTATCCAATGTCTCCTTCTTCGCTCTCTCCACCGTTTCGTTTAGCGTTACCGTTTCTTTCTTTACGTTTCGACGGCATTGTGATGTGTTCGCTCTTCATGTGGAACGTTGAATGCGGCCTCTCAGCCTTTATGATCCGGCAGAATTTTGGTGCACGTTGGTGTTGGAAACGATTGAATCGGTTCGGGAAGGTGCCGTCGGCACGCGTGAATTTATCATCTGCTCATCGTAATGCGGTGTCCTGATTTTCTCCCTCTTTTCGACTGTTCGTATCGATACATTGTCTGGCATTTCTTTGTGGAGTTTGAATCCACTTTTTCTTTTATTAAAGGTAGAATCAGTCGACTGATATAATCTCCATCCGGATCGGGATGTCTTTTGTCTATGGTAAGATTGCCCTTTTGGTTCTCCATGGATCATCTTTCTATTTGGGTTGGTAAATTCATTCACAGTCTCCTCTGTCTCTTTGCCGGTGCTTGAAACTTTAGTTCTGATGGATATGAAGTACAAGATAATCGGACCCTTACATACACTCATTTTCTCGCAGTACAGTGGTAGCATAGATGATGCTTTTGCTTCAGTGTAATATATCTTGTTCTTCTTTGACCATCTCGTGATTAGATGAATCTGGGTCTTGATGATTAGATGCATCACCATCTCTTGACATATGAAAGCAATTGATATACTCTCTTCGGTGCGTTTATTGATCGGTCTGAGTTTAAACTTGACCGAACTATTTAAATGTTGAAGGCTCCGAGGGTCTCTCTGGTCATGATGAAAGAAGAGAAAGGAAGTCCGATTTCGAGACTTCAGAGGATGACCGCAGGACGAAGATTGGTAATCTGAAGAAGAAAGCGATCAACGCATCTAGTAAAATCAGACGCTCTCTGAAAAAGAAAGGCCGGAGGAAAAGTGATCCTCGCCGTAGTTCTGTTTCAATCGAGGATGTTCGCGATGTTGAGGAGTTAAGGGCTGTAGATGCATTTCGGAGGGCACTTATTTCTGATGAATTGCTACCTTCAAGACATGACGCTTATCACATGCTCTTGAGGTGATCTTCCTCACTTTGTGCATGTACGAGCTTCATCACACTAATCTGCAAGAGGACTGATATATTGGATTGCATTTTCTTCATGGGCATGTCAAAGTGGAAGCATCTATCGTTCTTCCTCCTCCTCCTTGTTCCTGCTGCTTTTCCTTTTGAAGCCTGTTCAGATTTCAGCGGAGTTTACATCTAAAGATTGTTGATGAGCTTTATTTTTTAAAAGAATGAAAACTGAGTGCTTTGGGTCTCCCTGCACTTTGTTAGCTGTCTGTCGTGCTTTCTTTATGCTTGACTACTGTTATGGGAGTGAATCAATGAACGAATGACTTTGTTTTTCTGTTTCTTTTTTATTATGCAGTGATTAAAAATTTTGAAATGCTAATGCTGCTAATTAGATGAGCAATTATGAGTTTCATTGCCACATTCGATGCCTGAAAAGTTTGTGCTTTGATATGTTCGAAGTACCCAATGCAAGAAAACATTTTGTTATTGTTGGAATTCTAGAGAAGAGCCTTCTCTCAGTCTTTTACATGGAAGACATAAGATTGCCAATACAATCAGTCTAAGGAGTTCCATTTTCTTCTCCAGAGACTGCAAAATGTGAAAAAGATAATGGTTTTCTAAGAAGAGCATTTATAAGATTTTTTGCCACAGGCTGTTCTTTTTTGCTTTATGATCTCGAAAGCTGGGAGGACATTTCTCTGCTGTCGGAACTATTACCTGCAGCCCTTTGCTCATGAATTTGTACTTAGGGGAACTCTTTCTTCCCATGAAGTTCGTGGAAATCTTGTCATGTTAAAGTTCCATGTTTCTTTATTGATGTTGAAGATTTTAAATTGGAATGTTTTAATGTTCGCGGAATCTGTAAGACGTGGAGTTTCCACTTTCACAACTTGCATGCTCGACATTTGTCGCTCCAGTTTGGCTCTTTCTCATGACCTAGCTTTCAAATGATTGGTTATACAGTTTGGTCACATTCTCTTTGTCATCTACATTTTCTTCAAATTTCTTTATGTGTACAGTAGATTGTATTTTGCTTGGTTACATCCTTGTCGATCTTCTATTATCAGCTCCGTTCATTCATTTCTTGATCGAAGAATAGATGATGTACTGTTGGTTTCCCGCCTTTGAACTTCTCGAGTCATCTGTCTTGTTTCTCAGATTCTTGAAAGCAAGGAAATTTGATGTTGAGAAGGCAAAATGCATGTGGGCAGACATGATCAAATGGAGGAAAGAGTTTGGCACAGACACCATTCTCGAGGTACTATGGACTTGTGTTTCTTATGGCATCTCTTGTTTTTCAAGAATGAATTTCTGGTGAATTTTAATTTTTTTGAACCGTGCCCCAAAAGAGGAAAATTATAAGGCTAAGCTGCTGTTTTGTGTGCTTTTTTTTTTCTTGCTTGCTGTTGCTACCGAATTTAAGATGCTAAAAATGTCTGTGCATCTTTTCAGGAGTTTGATTTCGCCGAGATGAATGAAGTCCTAAAGTACTATCCTCAGGGTTATCATGGAGTTGATAAGGAAGGAAGACCTGTTTATATTGAAAGACTGGGAAAAGTTGATGCTAACAAACTAATGCAAGTAACTACCATGGATAGATATATCAGATACCATGTTCAGGAGTTTGAAAAGAGCTTTGCAATCAAGTTCCCGGCTTGTTCGATTGCCGCTAAGAGACACATTGATTCGAATACAACAATATTGGATGTGCAAGGAGTGGTATGTTGCTGGATAGGGTACTGTTAGAGTGTTGTGGTGAACCATCTTGATTTGTTCAAAACCATAATTCTCTTTGCTAATGATAATTACAGGGCTTCAAGAATCTGACCAAACCTGCTCGAGAACTTATCATGCGGCTGCAGAAGATTGATAGTGACAATTACCCAGAAGTATGTTTCAAGGAAATGAAATTGTCATTTTTTTGTCTTTAGGCAACGGTTAAACACATCTTCATTTAACATTTCAACTTTTGTCTTTATTATTTTATATGTTGTCTTACACAATTATATTACATATTTCAGACACTTTTCAGAATGTTCATCATTAATGCTGGTCCTGGTTTCAAGCTTCTCTGGAACACAGTGAAGTCTTTTCTTGATCCCAAAACAACTACCAAGATACATGTACGTTTCTGTTTGTCGATATTTTTTCCTCACACCCACTATGCAGGGTTTGTGATTGTCATTTTCAGATGCACTCACTTAGAATTTCTCCTTAGGTTCTAAGCAACAAGTACCAAACCAAATTATTGGAAATAATTGATGCAAGGTAATTGAAACTCTCCTGCTTCCTTCAATTTTCTTCTTGTGTTTTTTTATGGATAGGTGTGTCCATTCAATTTTTGACAGAATGCCAACTATTAATACTTCTGTAACATTACGTCCAAAAAAAAAAAAAAACATACTTCTGTAACATAATTCATCCAGACCTTGGAGTTTTTTTTAACTTTGCGAATTTCTTCAGTGAACTACCAGAATTTCTCGGTGGTAGCTGTACTTGTGCTGGGGAGGGGGGCTGCCTAAGGTCTGACAAGGGCCCTTGGAAAGATCCCAGCATTTCTAAGGTCATATAGTGATATTTTCTGCATTTTGACTTGTACTTAAAGTTGCCTTTCTTTTGTCAATTTTTCAGATTGATGGATTTAACAGGGAAATTTATTTGCAATATATGTGTAGATGGTTTTTAAAGGTGAAGCACAGTGTTCTAGACAAATTGTGACCGTTTCAAGCTGTGACGGAAGAATTGCTGCTTGTCATAAACCAACTCGTCCAATGGTATGGTTTACTGAAACTGTATCATGATGCACCTCTGAACTAGAAGTTTAGTTTCTCCACGGCAAGATCAGGATTAAGTATCGATATTGATTTTAACAATTTTTAATGACCTTCGGATGCAGATTAAAATGAGTGATACATCTACAGCCGAGTCGGGCTCTGAAGTAGAAGAAATTGCTTCTCCAAAAGCAACCAGGAGCTATGTACTTCCAATATTGACCCCAGTCTGTGAAGAAGTAAGTATTAAACAAGTAATGCTCAGAAAAGAAATAAGAGAAAAGAGTTAATGGACATAAATTTATTGTGGAAGAATGAAGGACTTTCCATTTTTGACTTGGGAGTTTTAATTTGTCTTATTTGTTGCCTGTACTGCTTGATTTTAATATAAAAGAACAAAGCAACCATAATCTCATGTTTAACTAGAATAAAAGCTCCTCTTCTTGTCCTGCAGTGCGGTAATAATGCTCCTCTGCATTCTGTGTTGTCAAACTTTATACTTCGTATCATATAATGTGCACACTGACTATGCATCTTCTGTATTACCACCGTGCAATTGTTAAGAAAAAGCTATGAATGTTTGCAAAAATGCAATTGTAAGCTACAGAAAAGTTAAGGTTAATAAATAATTGTTGAATTAATTTTTTCTTTGAATAAAAGGAATTACTGGTCAAATAAGCTCTTTTGCTGGAGAAATGTACAGAGCCTTGGTCTTCTCCTTCAGATTTCAATTAGTTTTGAAATGGAGTAAAACAAAGAAGGGAGAGACCTATGGTCGTTCATGATTTTTCCTCAAAGGAGGATGCATCACTTCTTGGACTACATGTCAATAGTCTTAGCGAATCATGCAACAGAAAATTTCTGTTGTAGCCTTTCTGTTCTTTCTTAGGCTAGAGATTTCAATGAATGGCAGTATCTTTGCAGGGAAGAACACAAACTCAGTTTGTTTTGTAGTTTTTGTGTTGTGTACACTTTACAGAGTCAAACACCACTGTGATTGGTTGTGTTGAAGAACACTAGAATGCTTGGTGGTTTAAAACCATTCTCAACTTCGTTCTCAACTTCATTCTGTGTACAAAGTGTAAATAAGAATACCTTAAATGTTCAGCACCAAGATAGGGCTGGTTGAAATGTGTAAATGCAACATTACTTTTCTTTCATCGGCTGATTTTGTAAGTTTCTGAGGCTGGCACTCTCTCTCTCTCACAGTTATGGTTACAGATACATATTTCATGATATCAATAGCATCAATGTGGACCATATGTTCTGTATAGCATGTCTTGTAGGGTTCATTTATCACTTGTGTTATGTGTATGCAACTTATCACTTGATTTAAATTTTTTCGAGGACTCTGACAGCCGAAACTTGTCATGATGCAATCGTCGATTTCTTAGGCCTTTGTTGAACTTATCAAATAATACATATCCTAGACTAGATTGGTCATCTCCAGCTAGTTAACCTTCATGGCTAGAAAGTATGGCCACTTGTTATGCCTGACATCTGTCGAAGAATACAAAAAGTGAATAGCAGGCCAAGAGGAAATATTGGACAGTCAAATTGATTTCCTCGGACCGTTGATGTGTCACCTAACAAACATTTTGGCATGGACTTAAATATGCGGGCTTAGGTTCACCTCATTAAATGTGCTCACAAACGATCTGTTGTGATATTTATGTAGGCAAAGACGATGAATAGGCCAAGCTACGCTAGCCATAGTGTGGTGTATGATGAGTATGTGCCAATGATCGACAAAGCTGTGGATATGGCTTGTGAAAAGCAAGTGCCACTTCAGGAACCACACATTTCAGGTCAACTATACTTCATCATGTTTGCTCGGTTATGCCTGGACCTTTGCTAGAATAGCTGATATCAAAGAACCTCCTTACATTGTATTGTCTAATTTAAGAATATGAAAATCGTTACCATTTCGGTTTCTTATGAAGTGTGGAATTAAGCGTACTAAAGAGTAAATCTTTAGAGCAAAGGGAAAGTTTTTGGTATTTGCCTTCTTTGGAGCATCAACATTTTTGTATTTTATGTTTACTTGTAGCTAAAAAAGAGATGCGAGTAACACTAGGCCCATGACAGGAAAAAATGCTATTAGATCTGTCTGGTCCTTAAAATTTATCAGAACCCTGCATATTCTATCCAGTGTAGTAAAGGACCATTCTTGCAATTCCTTGTCAACCAAGACTCATCATTTTGTGAACTCACTGTCACTCACTGCCCGAAGTAAATACCTGCTGAATCTATCTGATCAGAATCTTTGAAATATATCGCAGGGATGGATCCTCTGGTAGCGGAAAATAGAACTGTGGAGGGGTGTAATGCCCGTGTTTATGCCGTGATTGTGGCCTTCTTGTTAGCCTTGTTAGCTCTTTTCCGTTCAGTCCCATACTGGGTGATTAAGAAACTTCCCGGCAGCATGTCGGGTAATGCTCACAATATTCTCAGCTCCACCATTCAACCCAGTGAGGTGTCACGTTCCCCTTCTACTGCACTAAACTATGCAAACATAGAGCTTCTATCATCAGTCTGGAAGAGGCTGGGCAGACTTGAGCAAAGGGTAGACATACTTCAGGCAAAGCCACATGCAATGCCTCATGAGAAAGAGGAGTTGCTGAATGCTGCCATTTGCCGTGTAGATGCTCTAGAAGCAGAACTAATTACCATGAAAAAGGTTGGTACGCAGCTTGCTCATGTGTGATAACATGTGGTTTAGATTTGCTAGCATACAGCCGTTGTGCATGCAAAATAGTTGTTTCGACCAATCTTAGATTATCTTTAATCAGGATAAAACCCAACGTTTTGTTGCTAAAGCCTGGAATTTTGTGCTTTAGAGTAATGTTCCTCTTTATCAGCAGGCCAACTACATGTCTTTTTTTATTTATTTAGAGCTAAGTCTGTGTCATTGCCGACGACATTTTAGCGCAATTTTTGTAACCCCTCTTGCTTGGCAGGCCTTGTATGATGCACTAGCGAGGCAAGAAGAACTCCTCGCGTACATAGATAGTCAATCAGCAGCAAAGTCGCAGGTTAGAACAATAATCTTGTATGCAGTAATATGGAAATACTGATTTGCAGTCTGTCAAGGATTCAAGGCAACCAATTTCGGTTTTCCACATTTTCTGTATGTGATGCAGAAATATTCATGCTGGGGAAGAGATCGCTCCTAACATGGATGGCATCCTAGTCAAGTGTGAGCGGGTTCAACACTTACCGTTACTGTTGTTCACCGAGATACGCACTATCCTCTACTGCAGCGAGGGTTTGTTCACGCTCATATCACTATCAGCACTCCTTTTCTTTTTACTGTCACATATATGTGCAAATAAGAGCTCCATTTATCGCTCTCTAGCAAGTGCTGCTCCGTTAGCATTGGAAACTGCCCATACTATCACTATGTTGTAGAGCAACCTTTCATCTGTTTCACCGAAAGCACAACTTCTCCTGCCTGTCCTATTGCAATAGAAAGTTACCGTCATAAACATTGTTTCTAGTTCTCCACTATTTACGCGTGCCAATATTTGATGGTCTGCATTCCCGGAGTCGGCACCTTTGCGAAGGATTAGAAGAAGTAGGTGCTGTCGCGGATTGAAGAAGTAGATGCCATCACGCGACACGACATATGGCTAGAGGGTGAAATCAAAACGAGTCATGGACTCCTCGTCTGTAAACACAAAGTTGATCACCGACTCAGCTTCCTTTTGAGTCCACTTCCAAACGCGTGATCTGTTCAAAGAGCGAATTGTCAATCGGGTCTAGATGGACGTTATATTCAAATAATCCCATTTACACAACGATTTAAATTCTTAGAATAGTCGGGAGTTCTCTCGTGAAATGTTTAACATTATATTTACAGTAAGGTTTCTGCCTTGGGTTTATTTCACCTGCGAAGTTCTCTGTTCGTCAATTACACCCGTCGTCCTCCGGTTTGCATGTGAGGTGATCTAGAAGCATCACACTTTGTCTATGGGTTTAGATGGGCTTTATATTTATACAGTTGCCATTTATCTTCTTGGTCTGATGATGACTTACAAATTATTCCTTCTAGGGTGAATGAAGTCGTCTCGACTTCGAAGGAACTTTGCTCTCAAATTTCATGTTCCCTTGGTCTCCTTTCTGAATATACAGCAACTCGTTGAGTAGGTAAAATTTTTGTTGATTAAAGTAAGAAGTAAAAAAAACAATATCAGGAAATATTTCAGACATTTTGTCACAAACAAAAAAAATACCCAACCCCCATAAATTGAGTAGGTTACATTTAAACTTATTCGAAGAATTACCGTAACATATCTCGCTTTTGACTCAATGATTTTTTCCATACCTCAATACCAAATACACGCAAGAGTTTTTATCTTTTGAAAACCACTTTACGCCTTTATATTAATTAATCATTATGCCTCTATTTAAGATAATATCAATTTCTTTACAAAAATGGCCAATCTTCAAATCCTAAAATTCTCACACCCCACTTGAAATCAATTAAAAATCAGACCCACCCGAGTCATAAAAAAAGAAACTTTGTAAACAAGGGCCGGGGGTGTCTTCGCAACTAAACTTTGATGAAAGGGATAAGTGCACTAGAAGTCCTAAAACTTGTCAGGAAAGTGTAATCGAGTCTTAAAACTTTCAAAAAATGCGATTAAGTCCTAAACCTTGTCACGAAAGTGCAATCAAATCCTAAAAATTTTTAAAAAGTACAATCAAATCCTAAAACTTTCAAAAAGCGCAATCAATGGAATGACTTGATTAAATCAATTTGACAAGTTTTAGGACTTGTTTGCACTTTTTAAAAGTTTTTAGGACTCAATTGCACTTTTCTAATAAATTTTAAGATTTAATTACATATTATGAAAATTTTAGGACTCAATTATATTTTTGCGACAAGTTTTAGTACTTTGAATGCACTTATCCCTCGTCGAAATGAAGACACGCGTGTCCTGCTGCTGCTGCGGCCACATGCGTACCCTTGTCCACCGGAAAACGGATTTCCCCACAAATGAAGCTCCCAGTCCGCTTCCCAGACGCAGCCAGACGGTAGTATTCGATTCGTATCTCGGGCCATGGTGCTTCTCTTTCACGAAGACTCGCGCAGCTAACTCATCTCTCATCCCATCCCTCCTCGTACCCAACGGCTTCCCTTCCGTTGTCATGGTAATTCCTGCTCTTTTTCCCCTTCTAATTCCCCCTCCCCCTCGGCTTATCAGCATTCGTTCGAGACGCTCGCGTGCGATGATTGCATTCCTTCATGCTTTGTGGGTGTAAAATGGTTCGCGGGTTGTGTCCTTCATTTAGCCAGTTTTAGCAACAAATCCGTAGTTCTGATGATTTTTCCGTTGCTGGCGTTCACTTTCTGAGGACGTGAGCAGCGCCTTTACGTTCAAGCTCAATGTTTGTGAACTAGTGTAAGAGGGACCCTTATGATTTCCTTGGAACTAGTGCGACGTTGTGGTGGTGAAATGGTAAAGAACTCGCGCTTGAAAATGCCCTCCATTTTAGATTTTAGCGGGACAAAGAAAATGGCATGAAAATGCCCACCCATTTATCGGTAGGATTGAATGTTTGCATCAGAATGGCCCTTTTCGTCTGGTAAAGGAGTTGTAAGGTCACATAGTGTGCGCTTCTGCTTTCAGGTTCTCCTATTTTCTCGTAAAGTTGGCTCCTTTATCACCAATTTCGTGTCGAGATCCTCGGACTGGTTCGTACTTCGTAATGTTGTAGCCAGGCGTGAGTCCTCCTGCTGGCGGTATTCAGTTACGGCTAGTAAGATTGGTGGTGATGGAGATGCGAATGCGCGAGACGTGAGCAAGAGAAGCTACCAAGTTGTAGTGGCCGCGACTCGCGACATGGGCATCGGGAAGGATGGGAAGTTGCCGTGGAAGTTGCCTTCGGATCTCAAGTTCTTCAAGGAGCTCACATCTGCAACCTCGGATCCGAGAAAGAAGAATGCGGTATTGATGGGTAGGAAGACTTGGGAGAGCATCCCTCTCCAGTTTCGGCCTCTACCTGGGCGGTTGAATGTCGTATTGACCCGCTCCGGGAGGGTGGAGACTAAATTGTCCGAGGATGTTGTTTTATGTGGAAGCAGGGCATCAGCTCTTGAGTTACTTGCGTCATCTCGCTATTGTCCAGCAATAGAGAATGTTTTTGTCATAGGAGGTGGCCAGTTACTGAGGTGATGTATTTCTTGGGGTCCGGTACAGGAACTTTGCAATTGCGACATACTTATAGATGAATCTTGATACAGGGAAGCGCTCAATGCTCCGGATTGTGTTGCTATACATATTACTGAGATTGAGGATCATGTTGACTGTGACACCTTCATTCCCTCTATCGATTTGTCTGTGTTTTGGCGGTGGTATGCATCTCCTCCAATGGTGGAAAACAGTATTAGACATTCCTTTGTGACCTATGTTCGCATGAGGTATTCTCAGTTGGAGCACCCTGCATCAGGCAAAACGGCGGACTTTTGTGATGCTTCAAATTTCAGAAGCTTTGACTTCCTTCCAAAGTTGATTCTTGAGAGACATGAGGAGTATGTGTATTTGAATCTGATTCAAGAAATTTTATCAAGTGGGGAACATAAAATTGACAGGAGAGGGACTGACATTCTGTCAAAATTCAGCCGTCAGGTACTCCTTTTTCCAATTCCCCAGGGTTCCATCTTTCCTTGAGTTGTTTAGATACCATATTAGCTCTTTTGGATTGCACTTCTGAGCGCTTCTTTTACACTTTGCAGATGAGGTTCAATCTTAGGAAATCTTTTCCTCTCTTTACTACAAGAAAGGTTCTATTCCCTCTTCTCTAGTGGTTTGTGCACCCACTTTGTAATACCATTTTCACAATTTTTTTTCCCGACGACAAGATTCTGATAATGTTTTAATCACCCTAGCTGTTTAAATTTCCTGTTTGAGCCAAGCATGCCCAATCAGAAGTATTCCAGATTGATCTGGGGTGTGCATCTGTAATATGTTTTAGCCATTTATTATTGTGAACTTCAGTCTAAGCCAGGCTTTAACTTATAACTCTTATAATTGCAGGAGCTGTTGTGGGGTGAAATTGTTGAAGAACTCCTGTGGTTTGTCAGTGGCTCAGCTGGTGCAAAGGTAAGAGTTACGGCATTTGGGACCGTCAGCATAATCTTTGTAAAGTTTGAATTAAGATTTCTGCACCCAAATAGGTTGTTAAAAATGAGAGTATAAGATTTTAATGAGTCACTCCATTGGATTATTTCTATTCTGGCTACTTGGACCTTTGTTTGTTGGAATATTTAATATCTGCTTCTGTAAACATTGGTAATAGAAAGATGCTGTTGCCCATAGGTTCCACCAGAGATGATTCGTCATACTTGGGGTGGCAGAGAACACCTTAAAAGGCAAGTGCATGGCCACCAGAAGGCTCTATCATTGAGTCAATCCATGCAATGTAATAACATTCTTGACGATTCCCTGAAGCAGTTTGAAATACAGGGAAGGAGATAATTCGGAAGCAATGTCCAAATTTCGGCATAGACAATTACGTGCAAGGTCAGTTAGTGTCTGGTTGAAGATAACATAATGATGTTTCATTTCGTCCAATGCTAACTTAATGTTTTTCTTTTGGCCGAAAATGCTGACCTATTTTGCATGTGCAGATTTGAAGGCGCGCACGCTGAGTACAAGGGCCAAGGGTTTGATGAGTTGCTTATGGCTATTGATAAGATCAATAAAAGATTGGATAATGCACTTGTCATCCTCTCAGTATGTGATCCCTCAGATCCAAAAGTCGGAGAATGTCCACCTGGTTACACGTTTGCAAAGGTCAGACTTCAAATGTGCTCCGACATTTATCCTGTACCTTGCTACATGTACATGATAATCTAATCCAAGCTCCTGGGCAAAGTGCAGTTTTATGTGGAGAAAGGAGAACTTTCCTGTCGAATATGCTGGGCATCAGCCGACGTTGGTCATGGCGTTCCTTATTATATAGCATTTTACGCTCTCTTGACCTGCCTGATCGCTCATGTCTCCAGTATGCATTCCTGTCTCTCTGATGGAAATTTTGAAAATCTTGCACTTGAAATTTCATGATTTCCACCATGTTCGGTAACCTCCCAACCCAACCTGGATAGAAGAAAATGACGTATATTGTTTCCTGGATCTTCTGTAACTCCACATCTCTTATGTTACAGGCTTTCTCCCTGGTGACCTAACTGCTGTACTTGGGGAAGCTTATGTTCGTGAAGGTCATATCAAGCCACTCCAAGAGCAGCTTCGGAGATATCCTAAACCTTTCCCTGTAAGGAATGCCAAGTCAGGTGGCTAAATTTTTTACTACTCATGTTTCCTGGAAGATTACATGATCTTATTATGCTCGTTCAGAAGTAAACCATCTGCACTTCATTCTGGGTCATGTGTACACTGATGAAGTGTGAGCTCCACTATATGCAGTATTCCTTAGGAATGATACATCTTACGACCACCAAATATCCAGTTTATCTAATTTCTTGCTTGAGCCCAACAAATGCTTGTTCATGCAATCCATAATTCCTGCCTTGCAGATTTTGAGGGTCAACCCTAGAAAGAAGGATATCGATTCATTTGTTGAAGCTGACTTTGAACTCACAAACTAGCACTCTCTCCGATTGATAGAGAAGATGGTGATGTAGAGCCAAAAGAACGGTGGTACGAAGAGAATTTGAAGCACCATCTCCTCCAGTGCAATGTAAAGTTGTCTCTCTTATAACCTTGAGGGACATACTTTGAACAGTTATTCGTCTCTTTTTTCCTACCAACTGTTTATGAAGTTGCTATCAGTTCTCTTGTTCTATACAAGTCCACATACTTAGGTAGGAGGAGCAGCTTTGTGTGCCCTCTCAATTTTTGTGAGAATACATGTGCATAAAATGCAGAAAGTTAAATCTGGTCAATCTGTTGTTGGAAAATGGACACAAATGCTGTCTTATCTAAATAACTAAAGCTCAACATTCTGCCTTGCATTTCTTTTTTCGGTAATGGTTCATTTCTATAACTGAACATGTCCTATGGAATTTCGTCTCTCTTGCAACAGAGAAACTTGATTAGGCCTTGAAGTGCAATGTCCGGGTACTTAGTCTTCATGAGCTCGCCTGCAACTTCAGCGGGTGTTGCTTGAACCACCTTCAGTAACTCCTCGACCTCTTTGAACAGTGGCTGATCCTGAATCCCCAGGTAGTTAGATGCCAATGTCTTGAAACCGCTGAAGGAGCAGTAAGACATGTGGATGTGCAGGTCCATACGACCGGGTCTCAGTAACGCCGGATCAAGGCGGTCCCTGTGGTTCGTCGTGAACACAATGATGCGTTCGTCTCCGCAGCATGACCACAGGCCATCGATGAAATTGAGCAACCCTGACAGAGTAATCTGCAAAAAGCAAAAACGCATCGAACTCTAAGCTTCACGTACATGTGTCTAAAATACTCTACCATCACAACCTCATGAGTCTGGGAAGAGTATGTGGATTTTCGCGCCCGTCAAGTATTATGTAAAGGAAAATTTCATCCAAATCCTTCTAGTTTTTCGCCAAAGCACAATCCCTATGCACAGGCACACAGACTAAACTTCTCTGCACCTGTATGAACGAACAGAACAAATTGGGAGATAGTCTACATATACCGAGCATTCCAAATTGACAAACAAAAACCAAACCATACCTGCACCCCAAGTGTATGTCCCAAAGAACAAAATAAAAACAAAATCTTACCTTCTCCTCATCTAAGGTTTTAGACTCCTTCGAGCAATCGATATCCTCGATCACTATAATTGACCGGTTACCAGTTCCAATCAGCAACCTCCTCAAGTCAGAATTGCACTGTACTTCACTCAAGTCCAGATCATACACGTCGTACTTAAGATAGTTCGCCATGGCGGCGACCAGGCTCGATTTCCCTGTCCCGGGCGGCCCGTACAACAAATACCCTCGCTTCCAAGCCCTTCCCACGCGTTTATAGTACTCCCTCCTGGCAACAAATTGATCGAGGTCCTCCATCAAGGCTGCCTTCATCTCGGGGTCCATTGCCATGGTATCGAAGTTCGCAGGATGATTGAGATTGATGGACCCCCAATAGTCCGGTCCATTGTAATCCACTGTATGAAGCTTCACCATCTTCCTCCCTTCCTTAATTTCTTTTTCCTTGCTTAAAATCCAGGGCAAGTAGGATTTCAGCACCATCTCCCTGTGCCTCTTGCGAAAACTGAGCTCGAAGTACTTCGTTTCTGCCTTCGACGCCCCCCGGTCTCTCGACACTTTACTCTCGGACGCCGAGTTCTCGTTGGTCGAGGACATCAAGACCCACCTCAACTCCGCGCCCATGAACGAGTCCACCAACTCCTGGTCCGTGTCCATCCTTACGACCAGCTCTTCCTCTTGGAGCGGCTTGTGCACGTCGACCCTCTTGGTGGACGGGGATAACTTGGTGCCCAAGTAAAGGTGGGCGGCCTCGAACATCCGGTTCGGGGCGAGCCCGTCGGAGTCCTTGATGACCGCGGTGAGCCGAGACGACAGCCTCGTGGACAGGACCCGGAGGCGCGAGAGGAGGTAGCACTCGACGGCATCGGGAATTTTGTCGAACAGGCGGAGGGCGAGGGCCGAGAGAGTGACCGACGCGGCCACGGAGAGGACGGTTCTCGAGGAGGGCACGTTTGTCTCCGGTGAGCGAAACATCTTGCCTCTTCTGCCAGCGAGGTTTGTGAAATTTCTTGGGGGATGTCAGGGATGAATGGTCATAGAAATGGAGGCTTTAAGCCATGCTAGGGTTTATGAGGGTTTACAGGCAACTTGTAGAAGAAGGAAGAAGACGAAACCGACCTTTTCCTTGATTTGGGAACAAATTTTTCCTTAGGCTCAGCCCACAAAAACCGGATAGGCCCCACTAAAATTTCCCATTTTATATAACACACAACGGTAATTTTCAAATTAAATTATCCATATTTGTTCGATTATTTACAAAATTTCTAATGGTTTCAGTAAATTGCCAATTATTTCTTTTGGGCCCATATCAGCGTCACGTGCCCTCGCAATATATTAATAAATTATCGTATTGGCAATTTCCGATCACTTGTATTGTATTGAACAGAATAAAAAAAAATACTACTATTCTTAGGAATAACTATAAAATGAAGGCTGATATGGAGTCTTCTCGACTCGCTAAACGCCACACGGGTTATTACGTGGCCGAGGAGCCCGCAGCACTTTGCCTCATAGCTCTAAGGACAACGAAGAGGAGTGAAAGCAAATATTTGTGAGTGATCAAATGGCAAAGGAGCTCAAATGGTTTTCTGCTTCTCTTCTAAAATCTTCCTCCATAATCATAAGGGCCACTTTGCCATTGGGAATTTCACGACTTAAGAAGGTAGGTCACGTAACCAAGAAACCTAATACATCCATGACTGAACAGTGTCCAAGACAGGTACATTCTCATTGGAAACGTCATGAATCATGATTAGCTCAGCTGGGTCGCACGATACAGGGTTGTGACATGTGAGAGGAGCTCAGACTTGAAGCCTTTCTTCTACTTCCACTTCTAAAATGTACTCATTTAAGCAAAGACCCTTTTGATCTTTATCACCCGTTCATCATGCTTTGCTCTAATATTATTTCCCCAAGTTGACAAAGAAAAGGTTCAGAACCCGCCCACTAAACCGCCTCCATTGCAGATGGGACCAAGATGAGCTTTTGGTCACCGTGGAAATGGAGTTTAGTGGACTTATTACGTCAGGCACTGCATGAGAAGCCACCACAACCCCTCTTTCAACCGGACACATGTCCTCCTGCACTAGAACGTTGAGATCTTTAGGTTGAGGAAAGAATGTTGACTGAACAGACTCAAAACCTTATTGCATTGTGTCAGCAGAGGAAAGAAAGAAAGAGCAAACATGCTTGTTCCTCTGTATCATGCCTGGGCTTGCCTTTGCTTCTGCGCCGCTCTTGTTCTTGGCTTCGTGCTTGTGACGATGTATGGGTCAGTAGGGAAGGTGAGGCTGTGGAGAGATTACAAGGAGTCCAAGGTTGATGTCCCTCTCGGAAGTCTAGGACTGCCTCTGATTGGAGAGACACTTCAGTTCATGGCTGCCATCAACAGTGGCAGAGGATTTTACGACTTTGTCGAGAGCCGTCGCCTTCGGTAGGTGATGCACTTCTTTATTCTTCTGATGAATGAATGAACTAACTCGTTTGTGTATGTAGATTGGTAGGTGGAATCAATCATAATCCCTGAAATGATACTACCTCTCTATTGGATTTTGTTGCTTTTCATGTGGTATGCTAGTCTTGGACTTTGATCAATATTAATATAGTAGAGTAAGATAAACCCCTTCGAATCCCACTACTTCCTGCTGACTTAGTAATCGGCACTAAGGGTCGTATGCCTTTTTCAATCCCTACTTCAGTGAGATCTTACAGGAAGTTTCTGTTAATGAGATTGAGGTAGAGCACATTCTGATGAACATGTGATGCAAAGATGGAGATGCTACTGCTAGTCGTGTATATGCATGTAAATCAATCTACTTTTCCTGAAAAATTCAAAAGAGCTCACATGCAGCGTATCTGACACATGCTTGAGTCGATGTTTCTCTGTGGAGCTCTTTTGACAACTTACCGGTGCATGGCTTCCTAATAAAATGAGCCTCGGTAACTTGTATTCTGGTTGTACAACCACAATGTGGGAGGTTCTGGGATCAATGCTAGCGCTTTAGACATGATTCCAATTAACCTTGACATTCTGATAGCTTATAGACCTTATGCTACTATCAGATATGATAGATTGGAATAATCCAGATCACAATGACTACTAATGGGAGGTTGGATGGGTTTGCGTGAATCGGTGTCGTCCACTTTGTATAGTATGCTTAGTTCATTCTATCATAATAGGAGACTAAATCAAGCTTCGAAACGTGACTTCTCTTGGGGAATCAAAGATTGTGATGAAATATTTGCAGGTATGGAAGATGCTTCAAGACGAACATCTTTGGAGAGACCCATGTTTTCGTCTCGACTGCCTCATCGGCTAAGATGATCCTAAATAATGATTCGGGGAAATTCATCAAGAGATACATAAGATCAATAGCACATTTAGTGGGTGATCAAAGCCTACTGTGCGCATCCCATCAACAGCACAGGCATATCCGTGGACATCTGAGCAACTTTTTCTCCACATGCTCTCTATCAGCGTTCATCCAACAATTTGACGAGCTGATCGTGAAGTCTCTATTTGACTGGGAACACAGAGGAACCGTGGTCATTCTCGATGAAGCGCTTAAGGTAATTTTATTGTCTGCAGAGGATATCATGAGAAATTTTGATTATTCTCTTGAGAAGAGCATGAGCTGGGGTGGGACTCTTGTGATCCGAGATATTGCCGTTTCTTGGCACACGATTGGCCAAACTCATGGACTGTTGTACCTATTCAAGTCAAATTGATGTTCTTGCTGATTTTTTGGTGCAGATCACTTTCAAAATAATGTGCAGGATGTTGCTGAGTCTAGAGAGCGGACAACAGCTGAAAATGTTGCAGGAGGACGTCGGTATAGTCTGCAAAGCTATGCTCGCGTTCCCTCTAAGGTTACCCGGGACTAGATTCCAAAGAGGCATTCAGGTAGCCCCATACCCTAGAGCCTCTATTTTTCATATGTGATCCTGTTGCAGACGGAAAATGACTCGTAGGAGGATGTTGTCATATGACGCCACTGATTGAGCCAACATCCCCATTTTCCGATTACGCCTTAAGATTTACTTTGGCAAAGAAAAACAAGTCATCTCGCTATCCCATGCTTTGAATTTGGAAGTACTTTTTGGCAGTCTGAGCTTATTATGGTGAGTACAATGCAGGCCAGAGAGCGAATTATGAGTGCATTGGAAACTTTGATTAGTCAAAGAAAACTCGCAGGAACTTCTCATGAGGATTGTCTTGATCACCTGCTCTCAAATGATGATGAAACAGAGTGCAAGAAAGGTCCAAAGCTAACCATTGGAGAGATAAAAGATAACATCTTGACAATGATAATTGCAGGTGAGACTAGCCTGCTATAACCAAAAATTCTATTTTACTGCTCGGCCTCTTCTCCCCTTAGCTGAATAAAAAGGATTAAAGACAGAAAAAGGGAAATCAAAGGATGACCCAAGACGTTTGTCCAGAACTTAAGAACGAATTTCTTTTGAGGAAGGTGCATTTTCCTGTTTTAAGTCATCATAATAAGCCCTTCTCTGCTCTCAATTTCCTGAGACATCAATTTGCTGCATTAACCGGCTGGTCATGATCGATTCAAGTTTATAAGACACTCATGGAGTTAGAGATATTACTTCACCTGCTCAGGAGAAATTTCTTGCAGGTCACGATACGACAGCAAGTGCTATAACTTGGATGGTGAAGTACTTGGGTGAGAACGAAACAGTTCTAGACAAACTAAGAGTAAGTGACTTAACGGCATTACTAGAATGCTTCTCCAGTTCCTAATCAATTCTGATTGATTACCAACATTAATATTGGCATTGAGGATTAACGTACAAGGGGCTTTCTGGTTGAGCAGGCTGAACAAGTATGCTTCGCAAAGAAAATGTCGGGAAGGCCATTCCTGAAACTAGACGACATTGGCGAGATGTCGTATGCTTCCAAGGTACATGTGGAAGGTTCTGCGCATTATGTTTCTGGCTTTCCTCCCAAGAGTTCCCACTCATGAGCAATCACGGTAATTCACCATAAATGCTCTAACTAGTGGTTCGAAGCAGGTGGTCAAGGAATCCTTGAGGATGGCATCTGTGGTGCCGTGGTTTCCAAGGCTGGTGCTTCAGGACTCCAATATCGAAGGTTGTCCATATATCAAAGCCCGAAACTCACTCGAGTCATTTTAACAAAACATTTTTCAATTGAGAATGTACTCACATACTTTTCTTTGCCAATGTGCAGGATATAGAATCAAGAGAGGATGGAATGTCAATGTCGATGCTAAATCTGTACATTTCGATCCTACGGTTCATGACAACCCCTTTGAGTTCAATCCTTCCAGATTCGACGTAATTCTCCATGTTTCTACCTCATTTTTGGTTGTAAGAGATGCAGAAGAAAGGGGTTACGATCCTTAAATTTCTGCTTTTATGCTAATTGATGACTCGGTCCTTGTTTGTGTCTCAATAGGATGAGTCGAAATTACCATACAGCTTCTTAGGTTTCGGTGCCGGGGGAAGGACTTGTCTGGGAATGAACATGGCTAAGGCCATGATGCTGGTCTTCGTCCACCGGCTCGTCACCACCTACAAGTGAGTTCTCCCTCATAACAGGCCCAGTATCCGCGATTACACAAAAATTAATTGGTTAATGAGTGAATCTTGTACAGGTGGAAAGTCCTTGACCCTGACTCGACTCTAGAGAAGTGGGCGCTCTTTTCGCGGTTGAAAAACGGTTGTCCCGTGCTTGTGACGCGCCTTACAGAGGAGACAACCAACCCCTTAGCAGATTGAAGAGCCCCTAGTCAAGCGGATGAGTGCTATCTGTACTGTTAAAAGCTCCTATTCCAAGTTTGATGCAAGGTCCGAATGCCAATAATTGTTTAGGTTCAACATTTTGATGGATGCAAGTACCTCAAGCTCATGTAACATGAAATGAAGCAATCTTTTGTCATCAGTTTATTAGTATCCATTCAACATTGTCTCGTACTTTTAGCGAATCAATCGAACTCGAAATGATGTCTACGACGACCAGATGCAGACCACAAGGGTCTCAGGTTAAAAATTTAGTCCTATCCTACAAGGGAACATCATAGTCTTAGCCTAATTGTGGTCATAATCTCGAACTACAGAGATGACATGGTTGTCTGTTCAGCATTTCTGCCAGAGCTAGCTCATGATGCACACAAACATCACCGAACACACTAC